TGTCAAAAGGCCCTGTATGTTGTGAGACATTTGGTACCTAGAAAATGGTAAAAAAGGCACATGTGGGAAGATGGGTCCTAAAAGATATATTATTGAGTATTGATGTAATGGGTGGAGGTGTGTTTAGATATATGTTATTGAGCTGAAATGTAAATATGACAAGAATGTGATCATAATGTGGTGTTCATGTAGTACTCAACTTAAAACTTAAGTATGGAAGGCCCTCTATGTCAAAAAACTACATTTCTTACCTAGTAAAGATAAATAAAAATAGATTTTTAAGTTATAAGTAAGTGAACATGAATTACTGGTTATGTGTGTAAAGTAAAGATGGTAGGTTGTTTATGTGTGTGGGCAAGTATGCCAGACTGAAAGAAAATTGATGGCTGAAAGATGGTTAGGTGTGATATTGTTCCTACATTGCTCGAGTTATAACTCAAGAAAACAAAAGGCCCTATATGTTAAAAGGAACATTTGGTACCTAAGAAATATAAAAGTAAAAAGGATGAGTTATAAGTTAGAGTGTAGGTAGGTGAAAAGTTAACAGGCTTATGGAGTGTATTGTGACAATCAGTGGCGGCTTTTCTTTATGTGCTGCTGAGCTGCAGAACTACCAAACAACCATAGCAAATCTTAATTATTAAAGAATAATTAATATAGTTTTATTTCAAATCTGCCATATTATCATATTAAACATAAACTGTTAATAATAATTCACCAACAACGATGATTAATATTATTTTTTTTACGTATTTACTCCTCTAGTGAAACCGTATAATTTTTTTACGTATTTGGTGCTCCAGTGAAGCAATCTTTTTACGTATTTGCTGCTCCAGTGAAGCCGCGTCGATATCAACCGAAACACTGGCAGCGGTAAAATGCATTTATTAGGCAAACGGCGATCTTAGCCGATGTGCTTCGGCAATCGGCTGATTAACGGCCTCGGAAATGTGTTTGCGAGCTGCAATTCACGACAGTTATTCGTGACCGTTGCATCTGTGCCAGAGAACTACGAACGCAGAGAAGCGACACTCCTTTCATCTTGCGTGGGCAAGCCGCCAACGAGTGAAAATGACAGGAAAGCACCTTATTTTTTAATAGTCAGTGGGCATATTACACAATATAAATTCTTAAATAAAATTTAGCATTTATGTTGACTTTCAATAAATATGAAATATTGCACATGAAATATATTTGTATTTATAAATAATACTTCATTACTTACAACTATAAGAGTATTAGTATATTCGAAGTGTATTGTAAATAATGAAGTATTTAACTTTTGTCAATATCTCATCTTAATAAATTTACAGTTTTCTCCTGATTAAGTCACAAAATTGTCACTAAATATTGAGATATACAATAAATAAAGTTTTAATATTTTTTATTTGTAATTCCCATTTAAATATTTATTCCCTAAATATGTTGTGTACTCCGATCCATATATTTGATCTTTGTTATTTATATGTAACGAATTAAACATTGACAGACAACTTTTGTATATAGCAAAAAGTAGATGAGCATTTAGTTTTTTCATAATTTAATGTAAGTTTGTTTGGTGAAAAAGACAGCAAATATTTGAAGTTATGTTAATGTAAGTTTGTTTATTTGCAATCATGTTTTTATTTTGAAGTCTTGTTCTGTTATAATTTTAAGATTTTCCCAATTTTCGAGCTAATTATGTCTCCAACAATTTTTAGTTTGAGCATTTTAGGAATTTCTTTGTTTCGTTTAAATCAAATATTCTCGTGTATAAAACCCTCTATATATTTTTATTTCCTAAAAATACTATATTCGTATTGTTGTCTGCGAGCGCTTTCACACCAGTAGGCCAACATCTGTGTTGATTTTTTGACCTGAGCCTTCGGAGACAATAAATTTAATGTGTGTTCGTAATTCTCTGGTTTTTATTAATAATTAATAAATAATAAATAATTGACTGTATAAAATTCTGTGGGGCTTTTGAGCTCGCCTTACGAGGACACGATGAATCTGAAACATCAGATAACCCTGGAATTTTTCGTGGTTTAGTGAATTTTTCTGCTGAACTTGATAAAACACTTAGTGAACACCTTACAAATGCGACAATTTTCAAAGGTACCTCAAAAACAATACAAAATGATATTTTGGATTGCATGCTAGAAGTATACGCTGAGGAGATTTTAAACGAAATCAATGAAGCCCCATTTTTAGCAGTGATAGCTGATGAGACAACGGATGTTTCTATGAAATTTCAAATGGTCATTGTTTTTCGTTATGTAAAAAACGGTGCTCCAGTTGAAAGGTTTTGGACTTTTTTGCTTCCAGAAAAACATGATGCTGAAACCTTAGCTAACACAATTTTGAATGTTTTAGACCCAATATTAAAGAATAACAAAAATAAGCTCATTGCACAAAGTTATGACGGAGCAGCTGTTATGAGTGGGATACATGGCGGAGTGCAAACAATAATTAAGAGAAAATATGAAACTGCTCATTTTGTGCACTGTTACGCCCATCAATTGAATCTAAAAGGTGCAGTGCCTTTACTAAAATTTATAATTTCTAATAATTTAGAGGACACATTAACAGAAACCAAAAAGTTGATACAAATTCTGGTGACTACGCCAATGACCACAGCAGAAGCTGAACGTAGTTTTTCAACTTTAAAACGGATCAAAACATTTTTAAGAAATTCAATGTGCGAAGACAGATTAACAGCCCTTTCCACACTCTCGATAGAAAAAAAGTTCATCGCTTCAATACCGAACTTTAACGATAAAGTAATCGAAAAGTTTGCGACAAAAAAGGACCGGCGTATTAATTTCCAATTTAGAAAAATGCAATAAATGTAAGTTAATCAGATTTTTATAGCATGTCGTTATTAGTTACTATTAATTAGTATTAAAGCTAATTTTATTGTTTTTGTTTTCGTATGTTATTCTATTTCAAAACAACGACAGATGGACGAAAAACATTGTACATTGGAGACCACGCGAACACAGTCGGAGTAGAGGAAGACCACAAAAACGATGGCTAGACGACATCAAAGCAAAAATGGGGAGAAACTGGCACCAAATAGCACAAAACAGGGAAGAGTGGAGAACTCATGGGGAGGCCTTTGTCCAGGAGTGGATGCAAACAGGCTGAAGAAGAAGAAGAAGAAGAAGATTCTATTTCTATTATTTTATATTGACCGTGGTTCATGCAGCACACCCTATAGCAGATGTCACGAGCCGCCACTGGTGACAATATGTGGAAATGTAAGAGTAATTGTGTTTAAGGTGGATCTGTCAAGTTTACTAAAGATGTGTGATGTTTAAATGTTATTGTGAAGATGAATGGGAAAACTACAAAAGACTGAAGACCACAGAGACCCGAAAACCAAACCCTGAGGGAAATTGGATGAGTGAAAAGAAGTTATAAATGATAATGAAAAACGCAGTATGAAAAGGTGAAGATATGTGATTGAGTGGGTGATGGTGTATATTAATGAAAATTGTTTTTGGAGAGAAAGTGGCATGAACTGCTCTGAAATTATTTTGTTGGGAAGGAGCATGGAGAATATTGGAATATTTGGGTGTTTGTGATAGCCCGTTTGAGGCATTTTTATATACCTTTTATAAAGTATTTTAACAAATTTTTTTTGTGATATATGGTATACAGCCAGCTACAGGAACTTAGTTTCCTCGTTTCCTATGTGATTGAGTGGGTGATGGTGTATATTAATGAAAATTGTTTTTGGAGAGAAAGTGACATGAACTGCTCTGAAATTATTTTGTTGGGAAGGAGCATGGGAATATTGGAATATTTGGGTGTTTGTGATAGCCCGTTTGAGGCATTTTTATATACCTTTTATAAAGGATTTTAACAAAATTTTTTCGTGATATATGGTATACAGCCAGCTACAGGAACTTAGTTTCCTCGTGGAAGCATTATTATAACTTATTATGCAAGGCAAAATCCGAGGAAAGCGAAATGTGGGAAGACGAAGAATATCCTGGCTCAAGAACTCGAGGGAATGGTTTGAATGCAGTAGTGCAGAACTTTTTAGAGCGGCAGTCAACAGAGTCCGCATAGCCATGATGATTTCCAACCTTCGATAGAAGATGGAACTTAAAGAAGAAGAAGACCATCCAATTCTTTGGGCTTTTATTGTTCTAACTATATTTTCTTGACCCATCCATTCTTGTACTTCGTGATTCATCCATTGTCTTGCATTCTTTTTATTTTCCCTCTTAGGTTTCAGTATTTTTCTCATAATCTTCCTCTGAAAAACTTTCAGCTGCTCTTCTTCTCTTGCTGTTAATGTAAATGTCTCTGCAGCATATACATGGCAGCATATTGGTCTTTTGTTTCGGTTTATCTCTAAATAGTTTTTTATGCCTATAATACGCTGTGTTTCCCGTTTGAATTCTTCTTTTCATATCGACACTTCCAGTTTTTCTGTTGAATAGGACTCCTAGATATTTGAACGCTTTAACCTCTTCGAAACTGTATGCGTCTATTGTCAGTTCTGTCATTTTTATATTCATTTTCTTGCTTACGTGGATGTATTTTGTTTTATTTTCATTTATTTCCATTCCTCTCAGTTTGGCTTCGTTTTCTATTTCTTGGAAGGTTTTCTTTAACGCCGTTTTATCTGTTGCTGCTATGGTTATATCGTCCGCATATCCTATTATTTGTACTTGTTTATAAATCCTGCGTTTGGCAGCTGTAGAATAAATAGAACCGTTAAGAGCGCATCTTGTCTTACTCCATTTTTTATTTATAGGTCCAAGTCCAGTACAATATCTTGAGATACTCCACATTCTATTTTTAAAAGTACTCATATTTTCACCAAATTTAACACTTTTTTTGTATTGTGAAGTAGCCTTTAACGAGCTTATTAGCATTTCCTCTGATTTTTTAACATTTTTTATCTGTTTTTAGAAATTGTTTCAATCCTCTTTTTATACCTGTTTCAAACGTTGATAATATAAATTATTTACGTTTCTAATGTCTAATTAAATATCTTTCAGGTACACTTTCTCACAACTTTCCGAAGATAAAGAAGTTGTCGTATTGGGAAGCAGTTTTATAGCGTTAGAAGCTGCAAATTACTGTCAAAGCAAAACGAAAAAGGTAACAGTGATAATGAGGGGAGATTTACCTTTCCAGCCGCTTTTGGGACCAGACGTAGGAAAAGTATTTATGAAATTGTTCGAAGACAAGGGAGTACACTTTGTAACTAAAAATACTATAACAGAAATTAAAGACGATGGGAATGGAAATGTTACAGAGGTTGTCTTACAAGATGGTAAGTAACATACGCTATTATATTTTTAGTTTTTGTAGGTTCTCTTAACTTCTATGTCTATATCCCAAAGAACAATCAGAAACACAATGTCGACAGCTTTCTTTGGCGAGCTTGGACATGTAAGGCAGATAAAAAACTGATGATATCGAATTGGACATAATGCTGGAGTTTGAGGTAAATTCACATACTTCTAATCTAAAAACAATATTCGATGTTAGCTATTCATCGATTATTCGAACTAAATAAAGAAAAAGAAATGCATCCTTATCAAATAATACCAACTTAGGAGCTCATGGAAGACGATTTTGATAAAAGAACGTATTTTTGTGAGCAAATGATGACTGTTAGATAACAATGTGATCCAATTACAAGATGTTTTGTTTTCTGAGTGCACCTTTACACTTAACGGTCATGCCAATCGTTAAAATTGCCGTTATTGGTCTAGGAAGATTTTAACTAGATAACAAAAAAACATATGCAATACTCTGAAAGCATTAGTGTTGGAGATTATATTATAGGTCTTTTTTTCATTAAAAAATCTATATCCTGATTCAGCGAACCCACAAATACTAGCTAATTTGATATGGTTTCAGTAAAGTGAATATCGCTCCATTACCAAATGAGTAATGGAGCGATATATAATAAGGCGGAACCTCGTATCAAAACTTCAGGCTTTTGAGGTATGGTTATACAGAAGGATCCTGAAGATACCATGTACAGACAATGAAGAAGTACTGCGGAGGATGAATACAACCGCGGATTTGTGTAAATGGAAGTAAGCAGTAAACTGCAGAAAGCTGCAGTAATTGGGACATATAATGAGAAATCAAGGCAGATATGCGCTACTCCAATGCATTTTTCAAGGTAAAATTTAAGGAAAAAGGGCCCCAGGATAAAGAAGAATATCTTGCCTTGCTTACCTGAGAGCATGGTATAGCAGGACCTCAACGCAGCTATTCCGGATAGCAACGAACAAAGTCATCATAGCCAGAATGATTTGCCAACGTTCGGAACGAACAGGCACCCTAAGAAGAAGACCAAATAAGTGTCCGGCAGAACCTCAACCGTATATTTCCAAATTGGTAAATAGAGGCGAAGATCGATGGAATAGCCAGCACGATTCACTGATCTGACTTTATCAGATTTCTTCTCATGGGGTTATGTCAAAACTATTGCTTACAAAAATAAATCCACTGACTTAAAGGACCTAGTAAGACGAATAACAATGCGATTAGATCAGTCACGCCTGAGTCGTTAGGTAACGTTAGAAGAAACTTTTATTAATATATTGCCAAACAGCGGCGCACATTTTCAACGTCTTCCGACAAAGTTAGAGATAGGTTTAGAACATCGTACATGAAATATCTCTATACATGTTTCTGAAGAAAAAAAGGACAAATATTTACTCGTTCTTGTTTTATATAAATTTAAAAATTGCAGAATTGATAAAATAATATAATCAAAACGTACTTGATTCAAGCGTTCTCTCTTTATATTTGAAGCATAAAACATCTTTATTATAAAAACATGCCAATGCTGCCAAACCGAAATATTTTGTTCCATGGTTGACATTTGCAGCTATATTGTGGTTGCCTTCTCGTTAACGATGTCCATATTTCCATAATATTCTGAAGAATCCAAAAGATTGATAATTAACAGTATTTAAAATAAGAAAGTTGATATTGATCACAAGTATTTGTTTCTGATGAAAAATGCGCAACAGAATACGAATCGATATGTCCAAACGTTATTTCGAACCCCTCCCCACTTATCAAGTTTATTCCATTTGGCCGATACAGACTACGGTCACTACTATACATTACGGTCACGAGATCACATAAAAATAGGCGATATTTCAGATAAAGTAAATTATTATTAAAAAAAAAAACGAAAAATGAGTAGTGACGGATATGGACCACAGTTTTGCTACCCTATATAGGCCAAACAAATTTTAGAATCCAAAATAGGATTTATGAACATTCCATTTCTGTTCGCAATTCCGATTCAATTTAAGCTCTAGATCAGTTCTTATCTTCATACATGTCACAAAATTGTAACGACATTTTTTTATACGATTTTCTCTTGCTGTGCCTGTTGCCCTAAAGCCCTTCTTTTTTACAACTTGTGATCCTAAAGGCAACGCCGCGACTTTTGATTTATCCACTGATGCTCCATAATATGTGTCAACATTGTAGCAATAACCAGTTGAACTACAAAGCATCCAGTCGTTGTACCCAAATCTGACTGGCTTTCCCCTTATGAACTGTTTAGATGAGTGATGCCCAAAATACTTTATCGTCGCTTCATTAATTGATAAGTCTTTATGAAATATGCCAAATTATTGAAATTTTTTATTTAGTTTGTTCATGAGAGAGAGAGAGAGAGAGAAGTTTATTGTTTTTAAAATGAGATTACATTTATAAAACACAACATGGTATAATACAAACAAGGTACAAGATATATTAAAATACTAATTATAAAATTTCCATAATTAAAAAATATATATATCAATTAGCGCAACTGTCCTCAAAGAATTCCTCTATACTATAGTAACATTTAGATAATAAAAACTTCTTGATTGCTCTTCGGAATACAAAAATATTGCTTGAGGATCTTATATCGAGTGGTAGGTGATTAAACACTTTCTTACTAGTGTAAATGATTTTTTAGTTAATGTAGAAGAGGGAATTGGAAGTGGAATAACATAATTTAGACGAGTATTATACGGGGAAACTGTCCGAATATCCTCTTTATGTTTTTTAAAAATTAAGCACGCTAATTCAAGGATATATATGCAAGGAAGTGTCAAGATACCATGTTTCAACAGAGGCCTGCATGATGTACCAAACTTGACCTTGCATAAATATCTGAGTGCTCTCTTTTGTAGTATAAAGTTTCTACTGAAATGATGAAGAGAACAGCTACCCCAAAAGGCAATACCGTATCTCAAATTAGATTCAATCAGGGCCATATAAACACTTTTTGAAATCTTGAAATCTAAATGGTGAGCAACCGATTTGACCACAAAGTAACCCGATGATATCTTTTTGCTTAAATATACAGTGTGTTGCTCAAATTTAAGTTTATTATCAATATAGAGACCTAAAAATTTGTTTACGGTATCAGAACAAATGCCTTCATTGCCCAGAGTAATGTTGTTTAGATCATTCTAAAAGAAATTAATTTAGTTTTTGAAAAATTAAATGTCAAATGATTAGCTTTACACCACTCTAAAATTCTTTGCATATCACTACTAATAGTCTTGTTCTGTTCCGTAGAGTCCTTGTTTTGCCATAAAATTGTGGTGTCATCTGCAAATATAGTAAACCGGCCATTAATGTCGAGGTTAGTTATATCGTTAAAATATATCAAGAAGAAGATAGGACCCAAGACAGAGCCTTGAGGTACTCCACAATTAATAAAGATATTACTAGAGTAGTACTCATTGATTGATACAGACTGGCATCTGTCTTCCAAGTATGAACTGAACCACTTTAGAGCAGTGCCTCTAAAGCCATATCTTTCCAGTTTATTAAGTAGTATTTTGTGATTGACACAGTCAAAGGCTTTAGAAAGATCACAGAAAACTGCGGCAGCAACATAATCGTTATTTAAGTCCAAGTATAGTTTTTCCATGAATTCAAAGATGGCATCATATGTACTTTTTAATGACTGGAAACCGAATTGGAAGGAAGAAAGAAAATTGTGTTTTTGTAAGAACGTCATCATTCGGATTTTTACCAATTTTTCTACAACCTTTGAAAGTGACGGCAACAAAGAGATAGGACGATAATTAGCAGATAAATCGTGGTCAACACCTTTGTACATAGGAATAACCTTAGCACATTTTAAACAATCGCTAAAGTGACCCGTTGAAAAAGATGTGTTAATTGCCTCCGATAAAATTCTCAGAACATTATCAGGAAGAAGGGATAAAACTTTAGATGGGATATCATCCCAGCCTGAAGCCATGGGATTTTTAATGCCTTGTATAATATTTTTTATTTCAGCCGAGTTAGTGGGAAGAAAGTAAAAGGAATTTGTAATGTTTACTCCATTTAAAAAATGCATTGGATCAGAAGAAGAATTAATTTTTCCAGCGAGTTCTGGACCTACCGAGCAGTAATATTTATTCAGATCACTAGGGTCTAAGACTATATCTGTAGTTTGGGGAACTTTAGCTCTAAGGTTATTAACTATACGCCAAAATTCCTTTTGTTTATTATTGGCATTTTCCATTCTAGATTTAAAAGATATACATTTGGCTAATTTAGTTACTTTCCTATATATGGACCTATATTTATAGAAATATATCAAAAATTTATCATTGCATATTATATGCTTTTTAATGTAATTTAACGATCTTAAATTTTTGCAGGAAATTCTAATTCCTTTAGTAACCCAAGTTTTCTTACTTTTTGATTTAAGAACTCTTTTTTGAAATGCTAAATTAAAAATCTTCACGAGAGTGTGATGAAATTGATGAAGCAAATCAGGAGAGCAAAAAATATTATTCCAATCTTCCTGATTACATAATTTGATAAACCTGTCAAAATTACTTTTGCTGAAAATCTTACCCCATCTGGCCGTATAAGGTGGATTCTTAAGGGGAAATACACATAAAATGGGATCATGATCTGATGAAAAATAGGGAATAACTCTGCACACAGCTAGATCTGGATGTAAATTAGTACAAATATAATCTAATATGCTGTTATTTCTAGTTGGATGGGTAACCAGCATGCTCATATTAAAACTATTAAGTAAATTTGTAATGGTAATAATATGGCTGTGTGATGAATCCAGATAATCAATATTAAAGTCACCTGTCAATATAATATAAGCATTTTGTGGAATTTTTTCAAGCAAGGATTCCAATCTTTGAAGGAATAACTGAATAATAGACTTAGGGGGTCTGTACACAACAATGAGAAAAGTATTAAGTTTCTTACTGAACGTAATAGAAAATTCAAATTCAGATTCAATGCAGAGGTGGTTAAATTTATTGTAGTCAACAAAATTGAATTTATACTGAAACGTTGTATTAATTAAAATTAATGTGCCTCCATGAACGCTTTCAGATCTGCAAAATTTAGATATTATGGAGTAATTGTTAATGCAAAGTTTTTCCAGAGGATACAACCAGTGCTCAGTTAAAAGCACAAGCTCTGGCCAATCGTTTTCGCAAGAACTACTTCCAATTCCTTAACTTTATTTCGTACAGAACATACTTATGTTGTATAAAATAATAGAAAATTTATTAACGATATTAGATTTAGATATACTGGTATCCAGTTTATCACATACCACACTTAAAATATTATTTATGTTATTTGTGTGCCCTGTGTTGTCAAAGATTCCATTTGATCCTGGCTGGGTGATACTAATTACTTTCTTATCTGGGAACGCCTTCAAAAATCCTTATTGTTACGTTGGTAGTTGTGGAATTTTTTGAAGTCGAAACGTTTAAAACCGATTCCTTTGGCCCACGTAGATTGTTTGTAGATGTGATCTTTATATTTTTCGCCAACCCCAAACATAAAACACTTATTACGGTTTTCCTCAGTCGGTAGTTCCCTTATAATAACATCCGCGTCGGAGAATTGTTCTTGATTCTTTACGAACTCTTGGATATTTTCAGATGATACATGCCGCATAATTCTATACAGGTATAACCACACTTTACGCTCGACACCAAAATCACCAGATTCCTCATTTTGTCCAATATTCTTCTTCATAACTCTGTTTCTTTTTGTTTTCTTATAATGCACAGTTGTAAAATCACTCAAATCCTGCACATGTTGTTGGGCATCTGGAAATTTAGGGTCCTGTCCCTTAGGCAAAGCTAGATTAATTATTTCATCCATTTTATTATTTTGATATTCGCTTTCCAACTGTAGGTTAGGTGTGTTTGTTGACAAGTTATTTGTTTTGTATACAAAATTGTCGACAATCGATTGTTTATATTTATTTTCAATGTTTTTATTTTGTGAGTCATTAAGTTTAATTGGTATTTTATTTTTATCTTTGGTGTGATAGTTTTTTAACTCCGTCTTCAATAAATCGACTTTTTCTTGCAGCAAATGAGAGACCTGACTTTATACATTTTATCCCTTGTATCAATTTGTGAATTATCTGCCAAATGTAGGAATTTTTTAATTTCTTGGAAACGGTTCCTTAAAATTGCATTAGTCACGGGGGCAACCTGAAGATCCTCATCTAAATCTGTGGTATCCAGTAAAAAGTAAAGTAGCCAGAAATATCTCTATCTCTTCCTGCGTTACATGAAATTGATGATCATTATTTTGAGCGGCATATAAATTTGTCTGCTGTGTAATATATTCAATAATTTCATTGTCGAAAAATTTCTCAAATATTTCTATAGGAAATTTCTCGGATTTGTTCGTTCATATTATCCAGACGACCCTTGTAACCTGTTGTAGATGTTATACTAATATCAGTAATTTCTTCCGTCCAGTTAGATTTCTTGGTTTTATTTTGACCCTCTAGTAAATTTTATCTTCTAATGGCAAGAGGAAGATTATCTTGAAGGTTCTTGAATATTAGCTTATAATTACTGCGGCAAAAATTAGAAAGAAGAGCACCACCTAGGGTATAATTTGTGAAAATATAGTAGAACACTTCCTAATAGAATCAAACATGCACGTGGAGTACCACTTTTTTTACCAGAGTTGTCACTACTAGGCCATTTTTGCTGCTGTACTTAGACGAGTACAGTGGGACCAAATGGGCTAAATACGACGAAGTAATACATAATTTCGGACACTTGAAACTACGGCATAATTCGACAAAATATAAACTGTACGTAATGGCATAGAAATATCATGACACAGCAGAATTAAAATTTTTAGTGCAGTTGTGAGTTAATAAACGAAAACGTTAAATGACATACAATCTTTAAAAAATTATACTGCAATACATTTCATAATCGCTTATTTTTTGCATTTTTTTGCATCACTGATCTATATATTTTTATGTATGGTAGATATGTTTTTTTTTTTTAAGTTACCCAATTACTTTTTTATTTCAGGTTCTACGCTCAAGGCTGATTTAGTGATAATGGGAGTAGGAAGTACTTTTGCCACCGATTTTCTTAAAAACTCAGGTGTTGAATTACGGTCAGATGGATCGGTGGATGTCAACGAATATCTTCAGTCTAATATTTCAGACGTATATGTCGGTGGTGATATAGCCTATGCACCTGTTTGGTCACACCATAATAAGAAGTCCGCAATAGGTCACTATCCTTTAGCTCATTATCATGGAAAAATTGCTGCTTTGAATATTATTGGAAAACGTACCCCATTAAAAGCGGTGCCTTACTTTTGGACTATGTTGTATGGAAAAGGAATAAGGTTAGTCTAGTAAAATAAGTATGATATTTTTTATTCAATTATTCTTCTTGTAGAACATCGTTCAGTAAAATTACTGTTGATTTTAGATTTTAAATATGTCCCATATGTAAAACTACAAAAAAAACCACCTTTGAAAGTTAAATTAATTATTTTTTCACATATAGTAGTTAATAAGTTCTGAGAAACAGTTCGAGGTATTCTCATCTGCCTTGATTACTTGATATCTATGATTATTTCTGTCTCTTTCAAATCTCAACAGTCTCGTGTTTTAACTCTTGCCCCAAATCATCCACCTCTTTTAATTTCATAGATATTAATTTTTTTTCTCAAAATCATTTGTCCAGGTAGTCCTCTTTTTCATATCGTTCTTGCAAAGCATGCCACAAATTATAAGCTGTTGGTTTATCTCGAATAAGCTCTAATTTATTGTCATCTATACATTGTACAATTATTGACCTACCAGCTCTATCTTTCTGTTTGCTGCTAACTTTTGTGACTCTTCTATATAATTATTCTCAATAAACTCCGTACTAATCCATTGTTCAACTTCTTCCAAAATAACTTTAATTCTATATTTCCTTGCAGAATAAATGGTCCCATTCAAAAGTTTAATATTAAATGTATTCTTTACTGTACTTGTCATATTTTATTGCTATAGTTTTCTGGGCCGTTAACCTATCGGATTATAGATTAAAACTCTTAAACTTTTTGTTCCTTGGCTTTCTTTTATCTTCTTCTTTTTGCTCTTTATAAGCAATTCCGCTTGTTCATTGGCAGATTTCAGATCCCTGGCTCAATTTCCTCCTCTGTTCTCCTACTCCTGTTTCTTCATCACCCCAGAAATCAGACAGCGTACTTCTCTCAATTCTTTCTCTCCTCTCAACATTGTTTACAATGTTTCTTTCATCTAGCCCTAAACTCATTCGCTTCTCGAAATCACCCCTCTCATTTACCCATCTCTGGCAGTAAAAAATGTGGGTGGGAGCGTCCTGTACCCCACAAACAGTACAGTCTGTCGAGGTAGATTTGCGTATTCTATGTGTAAAGTTGCCAAAACTAACATGTCCGGTCAGAAAATGCGTCAGGAAGTAGTCTAGTTTCCTGAACTTACATTCCCACCACGGTCTCAGATCGGTTCTTTGTCCACCTTGCCTTTCCACTATCATTCGCCCATTCTCTCTGCCACTCTACTATCGTTCTTTCTCTCTTATTCTCATCTATATTTACATTCATCCTCCTCGCATACATCCTCGCTCTCTCTTTACACAACAAAACGATCGGTATCACCGGACCAATGACATATAGAGCCTCATTATACTGAAACTGTCCTATATGCGCTAGATACCCTGAGGAGCATTTGCCTTTGCGAAGTCTCCATCAGTTTAGCGTATTTCGCAGTGTTTAGTACGCTACTTAATTGATTTAATCGATGCAACCATACATACTACTTAGACGTTGCATATTTCTACCATGTGCTTCGGCACCAAACATATTCTCCTTATCCTGTATTTCTAATCATCTGTTATTCTGATTCACTGAATGACACAGAACATCAAAAAAAGGATTAAGTGAGGTATTACACTTTACATTTCCTAACCTCTCTAAAGTTCTAGAAGACGTAACTCTCTGCGTCTAGGAACGACGTCCCTGAAAACTTTTTCGTATTTCAATGATAATTCAGGATATTTAGCGAGTCCGTTTTTGCTTTGCTATATTTCATTTTCAGTTCTCTTTAATGTTTTATATTCTACTTTGCGGGTTTTACTTATTATATTTAATATTTAAATTTTAAGTGTGCGATATATGTTTTTAGTAATTGGCGAAATATGTGCATATCAAGAGTAGTCATTTTAAGTTATATGTGATTTGTTACAGTGGCAATGTTGATATAATAGTTTTAACACTTGTTTTTAGATATGCTGGTCACGGCGAGTACGATGATATTATTTACCATGGTGATGTATCCCAGTACAAATTTGTAGCATTCTACTTAAAAGACGATATAGTGGTAGCGACAAGTTCTTGCGGAATGGATCCCATCGTTTCCCAATTTGCCGAACTTTTAGCACAGAACAAGAAGATCACCAAAGAAGAACTTCAAGATGAAGATCTTCTAACCTGGCGGAATAGGGTTATTCCTCAATAAACAAATTTACTAAATTGTGGCTTGTTTAGTAGCTAACATGATAAAATCAGTTGATAACTTGGTAATGAAAAAATAACTTAAAAAATAACTCAGAATTTTAAGGAAAAGTTATTTCTATTGTTGTTGTTTTTTCACCATGTTATTTACTTTTTCCTAACCACATTATTGCTTTGTGATACTCATACAAGTATTGTAATTTGTTCCTACGAGTATGTATACACGTAAACATTTTTTAATTCAGTTTTCTGTTTCTAATGTTTTATATGTTATTGTAGAGAGTTTAAATCTTTTATAAATAGTGTAAGAAAGCCTATAGATGTTGAATACATGACTTTATTTTTTATATATAATTAAAAGTTATTCCATGGTATATCAATTTTTTGTACTATAATATATTAACACAACATATTCCCAATCAAGAGTTTGGGGAGCAGTGTAAAAACGAACCCAAACATTTTATTATATATAATATTTATTATATTTGATTAATAACGGGATAAATTGTAATTAAAGTTTATGGAAATCACATTTTTGAAGTCCATAAAACTGTCATTCATAAGTACTATTAGTCTAGTGCCTATTAAAAATAGCTTAACCCAGCGCGAGCCAAGCCGATTAGAACTATGTACTTTGGTAATTGTACTTTTCTTAATGTTGCAGAAATTTTTATTAACTGACGATTAACAAAATGTCTTTTTTCACTATAACTCAGGTACATATCCATTTGATTGATTTTAGATATACTAATTTACCAACTCAAGTTTGGTTGTTACCTCTCAAGGCATAAGGTTCCCCTTTTTCGAGTTAGGAAATTGTACGTTTCCTTAAAAAATGTAATCCTTTATCATCGATCTAATTTCTTATTAATTATAATGTTAATTACTACAATTATGTAATTTAAGGGTCATCTGACCTCATCATGTGCCAAATACTACATAGACGTTTTTCACTGAGGATGTTCTGATAAGATTGAAAACGTTTTGAAAAATTTATAAATCCTCTTTGGGTATTTTTTAATAAATTTTAATAATAAAATTTATACCATTGTACAAAGAGAAGTTTCTGCTTTATTGCAAGTTTTTTTAAACTATGGTATACAGCCAACCACTGGTAATTTCCCTTTTAAATCAGAACTGAATTATATTCCTATATTTGTTCGGACGCCGGACGCTCTGTTCGATGTTACCTTGTCTTGAAAAAGACAAGGTATTTCTTATAAACAACGACTAAGGTTGAAAATAAACCTTCAGGTTCGTAGTAGAAATAAAACTCAGCCATAGAGTCTGAACAGGAAGCAGAACACCCTAGAGCACTATGCTACTAGTCCTCCTTAGACTATCACACTCGATGACATCCCCCCTCCTCTGGAGACTGTGAAGCTTGGAAAAATAAAGATTTCTTAATAAGAAGAAATACACAAATAAAATGGAAATGCACAAAAAAATGTGAAATAAATACAAATGTATATAAATATATAAAAGTTAAAAATGTTACCTTAGGCAACACTGCACAAAACATTACTTACAGAGGGTGGTGGTGATAGCATCTCCTACTCCTGCAGGTCCATCCTCGGTCGGTGTACTAACTCCTTCGGCAGGTTCGTCTTCCTCTAGGTCGTCCGGATCCCATCCCCGTTTGATATGGCATATCAAACGGGGTTTCGTAGGAAAGTGTGCCTAAGCCTACGTGGTAACGACCACATCTCTGTAGGGAGGCAGGACTGGACCTACTCCGTGATTTCCATTGGCATCTGGGGCATCTAACTTCGAAGAAGCTTCGCTCGTCGAAGGTGTCTGCACACTGTAGGCATCAGGTCTGCAGAAGGCCTCGATGTCGGTATGTGAGCGTGGGTGCGCTAACATCCGATGGTTCTCCCCTCTGTCTTTTTGAATCCAGCACACTATGGATTCAGCTGTGTGCCTTCTGTGCAGGTGGGCGAGGGTTTAAAATCAAAACGAGTTGAGTACCATATCGCCACGGGGTGGAAAACTATCGGGTCTAAAAACCTTTAAAACACGCCGGACGCTCTGTCGACGTTGACTGTCTCACTAAAGTTGAAAATAAAAGTAGTAGAAATAAAACTCAGCCACAGAGTCTGAACAAGAAGCAGAGCCCTATGCTCTAGGAACCCCTTAAGGGCTGGATAGCTTGCCTGAAAATCAGCTATATTTATCTGTGCTGTAATATTTATACCAGCGACAAATAGGGATTTCCCGGTTAACAGCCAATGCGGGGGGAGGCGGGGCGATGCGCATCGGAGTGCGTACTAGTCCTCAGACTCATCGCACTCGATGACAATGTAAAGTTCATATCGGATACGTCGTTTTCAAAGAAAAACGAGGCAAATAGTAAAATTAATTTATTTCAATTATTTTCTTCTAAAACTTCTTATTCTGCCTTTCGTTCACTTACTAGATTTAACTGCAACACTTTTCCAAATTATTTACCCGTTCCCGGAGTTTGGACCGTATCTTTTTCGGACGACCCGTATGCCAGTCCATCTTAACGTTTCGATACCATGAAAATTCCCTTATTCATTAGCTTTGGAAGGCTTTTGATCATGGTAACTCAACGCATTCGTAGGCGAAAATCTTTCAAAATCACTTTGCAGAGGCCCTTTCGTAATTGATTGTTGATCTTCTATTACTGTAGTGTCCCTTCGGTTTATGGGAATTGATTTTGTCGCACATCTCGTCATTTGGCGCTTTTTAGCCGACAATGCAGAGTCTGGTTCCAGGTGAGGGATATAAAATAACCTTTGGATTTATAGTTTCAATATTTTTTCTTGAACAGGAGGGATTGATAGAACGAATAAGTTTTATCCAATAATATATAATTTGTACCTTTGCAGTGTTTCTGTTACTATAGAACGAGCGAAAATACTAGACATAATCAATCCATCTTCGATGCTCTCGGATTCGTTTTTCAGGGAAATATTAGTTTCACCGATGTATACGTAGCCACAGGAACAGTGGATGAAAAATATACTCCAAGAAGCGAGAGGCGGTGGTTGCGAGGTTTGGTCAGTTGTTTAATTTGTAATTTTTTAAAGAGGAAAATGAATATAACCGATTTTTAGAATGGTACCTATGGATACAATTCACTTATTGTTATCTGTGTTATCAATCCGTAATATCGCACAAGTTCGCGACCGGGGGGTTACAACTCTAGCCGATTTATATCGACTTACTAAAGAACATCGATTTTGGGACGTACCATCATATGCAGCAAATCTACTCCAATTACATTATAATATAAAAGCTACGTAATATTTATTATATCGTAGTAAAATCAAACAAGGAACAAATAGACTTATTTGCATAGACCGATGTTAATAAAATATTTAGATAGAAGTTTGTGTGATATGATTAATAAAACTTTAGAGAAAAAAGGTAAAAATAGTCTTACTGTATACTTTTTCACGACACACTGTTTGAACGGACACGCGGCTGTGTATTTTAATAGCGAAAGCGCTACTTTGTCAAATCCGTTGTGTGAATGTACTATAGTAAACATTTTTTGAAATACACAAGTGCCTTGAGTGATATTATCTTCAATCCTTTTGATACTTTCTACGTACTAGACTATTTTTAATTTTTGTCGATCCCAACATTATATTTCAAATTTATTTTTTTAAGATTAGGTATACGAGTATGTCTACAATTACAATTTATTGGGGTATGCTATGCATAATGTAAAATTTAAAACCTAAAATGTGATATCAAATGATTGAAGTTAATTGAAATTTGAAATTAAAACAAGTAGTATATATTATATAGTATTATTTTATATAAAAAATATTATTTTAAACAGTCTTATCTTTGTTTTTATTTCTGATGTATATTATTTATTGATGCAATTATTTTTATATATTTATTTGTTAACATTTCAAATTAATAAATTTTGTTAACTTGCATTAATATGTTTTTTCTTCTATAATCAGTATTCTTCTTAACGTACCGTGTTCTATTAAACGTTGGCAATCACAGCGCTATTTGAACTTTATACATTACCCTGTTCACGGACAAAAAGAGACCTGATACAGGCTTTCGAAACATTAAAAAAAGCCTCGAAGACAATGGGACTGCAGGTCAACGAATCCAAAACAAAATACATGAAGGTCACGAACAGCACACAAATAGCGGCACGACAAGATTTGGTGACAGAAGTACACACATTCGAAGGGGTCTCGGAGTTTATATATCTTGGAACACAACTAAATAACAGCAATCTAGTAAGGGTAGAAATTAAGAGAAGAATATACCTGGCGAACAACGCTTACTTTGGACTAAAGCAGTTCTTAACATTACACATAATTAGCAGAAAAACCAAGATACTAATATATGAAACTCTTATTAACCTGTCCTGACATACGCGTCAGAAACATGGACTATCGTAAAAAAGCGACGAAGAACTATTAGGCCGCTTTGAAAGAAGAATACTTAGGCACATATACGGAGGATTACAAGAAAGCGGGATATGGCGCAGGCGCTACAATTTTGAGTTGTATCAATGCTATGAAAAATGCAACATCGTCCGGTCTAATAAAATTAATGACTAAGGTGGTAGGGACACCTTGAAAGAATGGATACTGGAGACCCCCAAAGACAGATATTATATCATGTTCAACTTGAGCTCTATCTCTCCACTCTTTTTTGTTTTCCAAAATTCTGTCTCACGGTTTTCGTTTTAGTATGGGCTCTTATAGACTATGGACTCTTTTAGTATTCTCTGCATTTTCAACGATTCTATCTTCATTTACCGTTGTGTTGTTGCCAGTTCCATTTTCTGCCAAGCATCTGAATGCTGTCAATGCTTTTATTATTATTATGGTATCAATTATTCAGTTAACCCTTCAGATAATTATACAGTTGATTCTTTACCCGTACACCATTAATACCTGGAGAGATAAAACCTATACTTTTTATCTAGTATTCATCATTGTCTTCCACGCATGAAACTAAAGACAAACCAGCTACCACCTATTATTAAATAAAGACACATGTTCTTTTTATGAACGCTCTAGACTCTATCTATCTATCTAATTAGCCTTCTTCTGTCCATCTTTGGACATAGGCCTCCCCAATCCTTTTCCATTCTTCTCTGTCTGTCGCTACAGTCATCCATCTAGAGCCCACGGCTTCTTGATATCATCTGCCCATCTCATTTGGGGCCTTCCTCTGCTTCGTTTATATTCCCACGGTCTCCAACTTATAAGAATTTTGTTCCATCGGTCTTCTTTTTGTCTTATATTGTGTCCGGCAAATCTCCATTTCAATTTTGCAACTTCTGTCTAACATCCCTCACTTTTGTTTTCTCTCTTATTCACTCGTTTCTCTTCTTATCCATTAGTCTTATGTGCAACATTTGTCTTTGCATTGCTCTTTGGGTTTTTATGATTTTGTCCATGTTTGCTTTTGTAGATGTCCACGTTTGGAAACTATAAGTAAGAACAGGGAGTACGCATTGATTATATACTTTGGTCTTAAAATGCTGTGGATATCTTTTGTTTTTAAGAATGTAGCTTAGTTTGCCAAAAGCCGCCCATGCCAGTCTAACTCGTCTCTTGATCTCTGCTGTTTGGTTCTCTTTGTTAAGTTTTATAGTTTGACCAAGATATATATAATCCTTAACTTGTTCTATTTCATCTTGTCCGATTCTCATTGTGATGTCTTCATCTGTATTTGTTATAGTTTTGGTCTTGCTGTAATTCATATTAAGGCCTATCTTTTTAGCTTCTACGTCCAGTTCTTTCATCATTTCAAATAATTCTTCTTTTTTATCGGCTATCAATACGATGTCATCAGCGTACCTTAGATGGTTCAAGCGTTGCTCTAGACTCAGTACATCGAAAAGAGATCCACAATCGCATCAACGATCCCATTCCATTCTCACAATTTAAACTAAACGATTTAGTAAGAGACCTAGGCCTTTCTAAAGAATCGGCAGCAGTTTTAGGATCTAGATTGAAAAATAAACATATTATACACTTTATACACATATGGCTCCGGATCATCGAGCAAAAAGACAAAAGAGGGAATCTAATCCTTATGAAAAGGAGACCAAAAAAGTGGCCTCTAATGGCGGACATATCCGGAAATGCGAATGCGCCAAATTTAAATTTTCCGACACTTATTAACAGTAGCTATAAAATAGTTTTCAGAATGTGTCTTAGACGAGAAAGTTTTAATTAATTATTAACGATAATAGTCTAAAATGCGACACAATTGTTAAAAAACTTCAATATAAATAAGATTTCATGTGACATTTGGGACAAACAATAACATAAACCCCAACTAAATTTGATGTCAAACAAGGAGAAGACTCTCTTTCCTTGTTTAATGTGGCCTCTAAAGATCGCACTTCCTGTCTAACAATATTTTTGCCACCACTACCTTTACATTCCCTCTTTTGTCTTTTTGCTCGATGCTCCGGATACATCCTTTTCTTGGTATGGATATAAGGAAAAGAAATTTGTATCTTTCTTCTCTCAAGAAGATGACTTGGTGTTTTGCAGTGATGTTCTTGGACTTATGGCACATTTCAAACTAGATTATGCTCCTAATGAGTGGAAACTTTTTATTAATTCTTTAAAACGAAGCCTTAAAGCAGTACTTCTATACAATGGCAAAAAGTATGGTTTTTTTATCAGTTGGAGACTCGGTTCACTTGAAAGAATGTTACGAAAAGCATGAACTGGTTTTAAGCAAACTCTGCTATTTAGACCACAAATGTGGTGATTTAAAAGTATGTGATTTTAATGCTGCTGGTCAACAAAGTGGCTATACAAAGTTCCCTTGCTTTCTCTGTGAATGAAACAGTAAAGACAGAAAACAAAACTACAGAAAAAAGCTTTAGAGAAAGCTTACAAGTAGGGGTTGAGAGGAAAAGTCTTGTGGATCCCAAAAAGGTGTTACTTCCACCAGTTCACATTAAGTTGGGGTTAATGAAACAATTTATCAAGGCATTGAATCAAGAAGGGGAGTGATTCAGATATCTCTGTGGAGTTTCCTGGTTTAACCAAGGCAAAGCTAAAGGAAGGAATCCTTGTCGGACCGGACGTTAGAAAACTAATGACAGTTCCCAACTTTGTGGACAAAATGGAAACAAATGAAAAGGCAGCATAGACAACTTTTAAATTAGTTGATACCGGTTTCCTAGGTAAAAAAGGAGATCCAAACTACAAGACAATCGTCACAGACATTATCGAAAACTTTAAGGAGCTGGGCTGTAACATGAACATTAAACTTCACTTTCTCCATTCACATCTTAACTACTTCCTATCAAACCTTGGTGATGTCAGTGAAGAGAAGGGCGAAAAATTTCACCAAGACATCAAAGAAATGAAAAGAAGATACCAAGAAGACAGAACGTGAGCATGACAGCAGACTACTGTTGGATGATGAAAAGAGATGATTCTCAACGAGTCCACAGCCGGAAAAGCAGCTTTGACCCAAAGCGAAAGCGTTATTATAACGACTTATGAGCTTAAAGAGAAATGAAAGTGTACTGGTAATGTAGTTTAGAACATGATTAATAAATAAACTAAATTTTATAACGTTGGAAAAAGGTAAAAAATTGCTTACATTTTGTTATTATACCCAAAAATACTGCCCATGTTGTGAGATAACCTGACGTAATACACAAAAATGGTTTACATTTTTGAAATTAGAGCTGAAAAGTACATAAAAGTCAGTTATCAAATTTCAAAAAATAATTTTTTGCAGTCCTGTGTAATAGATTAGATTATTAATAGGGTCCTCAAGAAAGCAAATCTATTAACGCTAATCGTTTCATTATAAACAGAACAGAATTTGATCTAGAAAGGCTTTCTTGAAAAAGTACTAGATTAGATCGTTACATACTTTCGACTGAAACATGAAAAAATTGTCTGCAAGATGGATACTACGAAATAGACGCACACAAGCGAACTAGAAAAGATTTGTAATTGTCTTATTGACATATATTTGCAATCGACACAAAGAAAATTGTTTTGTAAAAGATTAGTGACAATGAATCCATCAGTACGATGTAGAAGCCAAAATACAGAACACATCAAAGTTCACCATCGCCGAAAATATTAAACATTAAAAATTTAAATCCGATTTGTTTTATACAGCAAATATAACTAGCTTTGGTGATACTGCTTACATTTAATTACTCTTATAACTGTTAAAAAATCTCCCAACAATAATTTTTTTTGTGTTTAATTACCACTTTATGTCTATATCTTGGACATATATGATTTCTCAATATGTATATCCTATTTGATCTTGCTACTACCTTTAACCTATCACAATAAAACAAGTAAATAAAAGTTTTGTTTATTTTACTAATAAATAACTTAAGAAATTTACATACACGGTTGAAAAATACCAATAAAGTAACAATTCGTTAGGCCATCACTGCTACACGTTCCTCCCGTTTCTCCTTTTGTTTTGGCTTTTCTTTATCCGCTATCTCCTCTTCATCTTCCTCTTCTTCCTCATTGACTTCTACTCTAGGTTCTTCTGAAGGCACAGCAGGCATCTCTTGCTCAATCAGACCAGCCAATTCTTCTTCTACAGCTGCCTCATCTTCATCTGTTAATTGGCCACTAAGAAGATCGTTAATCTCATTCTGTTTGTCAATCCCTTCCCTTGTTTCATCTAATATACGTTCAATATCTTCAATCTTAAGGGAATCATTAATTTGTTTCAAAGCTTCATTGCCTGCTTTTAGTCCACTCACCACTTGAGTTTCTAACTGGGCAAATTCTATATCATTAGCCATCTTATCTAGATTATCAAGTTGTACATCTAGCTTGGACAACAGTTGTTCTTGATACCTCTTCTTCTTAAGTAAAAGTTTTGCTCTGTCTCTTTGGCCATTGTTAAGTAACTTCTTAGCTATATCTTTATCTTTACCAAGTGAGAGTTCAATTCTTTTTTGATATTGTCTCAATTTATCTCTTTGCTGTTTGAGCTGTAATACTGCTTTATCATGTTCTGTCACTCTGGAAGGAGGCTTTTTTTTACCAAAAAGGATACCCATTTTATTACCTAGAACAAAAAATAAGTATTTAATTATTGCAAGAAAGGTAATCTGTAAGGATTTTAAATACCAATCTGCCTTTTATTGAAGATATATGCTACTAATACTACTCTTGAAGACTCCTGTAAACAATTTTATTTTATTTCTTTGGTTATTTGTTTTTAATGGATTTTAAATGAAACTTTTAGATGATAGCAAATATTATGAGGCATTGATGAAATTTTAAACAAGGAAAATATAATATAATAAGGTATTTTCGTCAAAATTTTTTTCATTTACAGTTACTCCTAATCATTTACTCATTTGATTTGGTTACTCATTTTGGTGAGATTAACATACAATAATATAACAGGATTTATTGATATTTTGTTTTGTTTGTTAGACCGGTTTCGTGAATAAAAAACATAGCGTTATTATAGCAACGAAGAATAATTTATTAGAAATGCCAGTGTACAGTTTCATGTTAAAAAGCCAAACCAGTAAACTTTGAAAAAAAAAGGAGGTCAACCGAAACATAAGAAATATATTATTGAGCCATCATCAAGGGGGATAATCTGTCTGTATTTGAGGAGGGAAAAAGATAAGCAGATTAATGACGAAAAAATTGGATTACAAGCTTCAAAAGTGCTAAATTTTCCTTTTATGATGAAGACTAATCAGGAAGTCATTTATGTGTCCTGCCTTCCTGTATTTACTTCTTAACATATGCATAGTGATTATTAATGTTGCGATTCTTGTATGGGTAATATTGCTCTTTTCATTCTGTCTCTCCATATATCCATATTCTGGATTTCACACTGCATTGATGAAGTTTGTGTTTACTTATTTTTTCACTGTATCTGTCTATTGGTTTGGCTTCTTCCTTCCCGTTTCCTTGGACTAATAGTCTATTCATATGAACCATGTTAATATTTTTAAAAATACGAAACTGCAGGGCCATTGCGGTTCTTAATCCCCTCAAAAATTTGTTCTTCTGACTGTCCAAGATATATGAAGTATTTTCTCCAATATCACATCTCAAATGCACCAATTACTTTCCTATCTGTTGTTCAGATGGTCCATTATATAGTTCAATATTGGGAAAACCAATGTTTGTACAAAATTTATCTTGGTGTTAATCTGTCCAAATTCCTGTTCACAACTCCCATTATTATTGACGGTGCTACCTAAATAAGTAAAACTGTCCACTACTTCGTACCCAATCCTTCTTGATTTGTCATTGCAATACTTTTGGTTTTGTAATTTGAATTGAACCCAGATCATTCAGCACCAAATATAAATGCATTAAGCTTTAAGCTACCTACTCTGCAAGGTTAAGTATAAGTGAGTGAGTGAGTGATACGTTTTGGTTACCACAGCAGACTGTTTATAACAGGTTAGTAAATTATTTGTAAATATTCGTGGTGGTATATTTACAGAATAATACTTAAAATCCAAGTTCTGATAGTTCAGTAATTAAATTGCTATATGCAGAAACAACACATGTCCAAAAAACGAATTTTTCAGAAACTGTAAAAACATTATATTGTAAACAAAAATACATTTTCGGTAAATTTGATAGTTAAAAATGGCAAGTAAGGATTTTTTTTTAGTGCAATAAAAAATATTTTGTTAATAATTCCTACCCAATTATGGTATTCTTAATATCATTTGGTAAGAATATTATCATTTTTTTATTAAAATAAGGCCCGTTTTTGATGTCGTCAATTGACAACATTGTGATTAACTGGTTACAAACTAATGAGTAGGTATGACATAATTTTACAGCCAAACGTTAGCATAAAAATAAATTTAGTTACTTAAAAAACATGATTTAATGATTATAATATATTAAACAAAATTTCGGTTTATGAAATTGTAAAAAACAATTTTTATTTTTTGTCAAACATAGATGTACTTTACATTTTTGACAAAGAATACGGGAACTGCCTTTACATTCTGGGACGTAAGTTGAAAACTTCTATTAGCCCTTGCAAAAATATTTATTGGATATCTTTACAATTCAAAGAATAAAAATGTCTTAAATTTTGTTGAAATCCCTCCTTAGCAAATTTGTCAAAACATTTTGTTAACATATACGAAATTATTATGTATGGCTTTCCTCTTTTTGTGGAATAACTTCGGCACTTATGACACCATCATAACAAATCATTCAAACAACAGCGCAAACCACCCTATATATAACAACTACGAAGATTATGATTGAATTTCTAGTAGAAATAACAGATTATACAGCTGTTGAAGCGCACGTACGTCTAATCTCTTACTCAGCAGAACATGCACATGTCCAGGACTCGTGTGGTTTCATAAATATCTCCTTGACTACTATACAGGTTAAATATGGACATGTGTTATTTTGCCATAGTGCAATGTAATTACGTGTGTATTTATATTATTTCAAACACCAGATGTATGGAAAAATGGACATGAGTTGTTTCTGCTTATAGCGATTCAATTGTATAGCAGGAGCTAGGCCTCTATATTCCTTGATATTAGTAATAAACATATTATTATTTATGGAAAAACAAAGAAACGGCTTTATCTAACAAGCTTTCTCAATACAGATCAAAAATATCCTGAGCTTCAAGCCAGTAATTAATATTGATTAACAAATTATGAAGTAAATATAACAATTTGTATAATGATACTTACTTTAGTAAAGTATAAAATTTCTCTTGATTTGTGCTATTCAAAAAATTGATACCATCCTTATATTATAGTATTCCTATTATCACACGTTATATGCTAAGTGTTTTCTTATATCTTTTATAACTAGCTTTTAATCAGATCTCTTAATAAGTCAAAAGTAAACATACACATCATCCATTGCCATTCACATAACCTAGCTTTTTAAGTTTCTCTCTGTCACGCTATGATGTCCTGTGTCAATCTACTAATAGTCTTGTCTCTTGTCTTATTACAGAATAACAAACAACTTTTACTGATCATAAATTATATTTGTGTTGTATGTCACCTACATGGTCAAAAATTGTCAAAAAGTCAAAAGCCGAAAAGCAAATAATAAATAAATGTGATCACAGATCACCTACCTCACCTCAATGTGATTTTAAACAAGAAAAATATAATCTGGTCTCTAAACCTACACACCGACCTACACAACAAAATCAAGAATTTCATATTGTGGCCTTTAAAAATATGCCTAGATTTTTAAATTAGATTTTAATACCTTACTTTTGCATATATACATACACTTTGCAGCTATAAACTATCAATAATAAATATGGCATTTCTGTTGGTTACTCATGATTAAAATTGTTCACCACAATGGATATCAGCTTGTTTAATAAACTTGTTCGCCTCAATGGATAAATTGTTTATGGACCCAAATAATTTAAAGACAAACTCCTACAACATGTGTAGTTATGTGCAATGCTTCCTTCAAACTCTGCCTTCCTATTTTTATTCTTAGCCATTATTTTTACCTTATTACGTATTATTTGTATACTTATTGCGCTTTATATACACTTTTCATTAATGGATTAGAAATGATATTATCCTCTTTATTGATAAAAAAAAGTAGTAGCCAAAAACAGTCAGCTTACATGAGGTATAATATAAAAGACTAATTTGTTAATAATGGTTATCACATGTGTAAACAAAATATTAATATACTGATAGTATAGTATAATATATAGTGATGGCAATTCTATTCTGATACATTTATGAAATGTATGTTTTGAGAGTTTAATTACAATAAAAATCTTAAAAACATTGAATTAATGCTTTAAACTTGCAAGAAAATTAGTTTTCTTGCAGGTTTAGTCTTTTTCATACCATTGGTGTATTCTTGCCAATTTATTAATAATTGATCAGTTAGATTAGTATTTTTTCATCTCACTTCAAATTGCTTAATCAAATTTTGGAATTGTTAAGATATATTTTTAAAGTGCAACTTATTACAGTATCTTTTTTAACTTTTATTAGTTTTCTGTGAATTTTTTGCCCTTTCAGAATTTAGATTGTCAAACTTTGCCTTTATATATTTTCGGCCCATTTGTTGTTTTATACTTACAGGATTTTCCAATACATGCTTAACCTTTTTGAAAATTCTTTAATGAGAATGGGCACATGCTTTTTTTGGTAATTGCATCTTATGAAAAATAAATACTATAAATATGACTTGAATTTTTAACCAGGCATTTTCATATACACATGCCAAAAACAGTCTATTGACTGTTAATTACTAATTTACAAATGTGGTGTATTCTACAAATACCCAAAATGGCCTAAATTTTCTTGAATACACATTTGGCACTGTTTTAAAACAACAACAGAACTGAAAATTTTGGAACATCATTTGGTTTTTATGAATTAACTATTGTATCCATATTTTTATTTTCATAATTTTTACAATAGACATATTTCATAAAACCCACAAGCCAAACTCAATAGAAGCTAAACTCTGAGTAACCAAGAGGTGAACACTTAAACCCTGTAATTCTTTTAATATTCCATAACCATCAGTCTTAATTTGGTATTAGTACTATCTATCTTTTCGAGTAACTACACTTATTGGAAAGATTCGAACGTAGTTATGAGGTTCGAATCGTTTGTAAACCCTTTGTCTGCTTCTTGTCAATTGATGATGATAAATATAATAGAAGTTTGAAGTTGTGAAGTAAAAGTGATGGTTTTATTGACAGCTACTAGTAATTACACAGTTTGATGTTCGTTAGGTAACTACTTATGGTAGACTACTCAAATCCCCAATTTATAATCTCACAAATAATTCACACAGCACAGAGGTTATTGCTTTCTATCATACCATACAACAAACTTTGAACTATTTCCTTACATTAAAATTTAATCTAGGCCATAATTGCGACACTTAGGAAGTTCAATTAGAAAATATATTATTCAGCAATTTATTTAGTTGTAGGTAAATGAACTAATTATTAAAATATTATACGATATGGTTTTACAATGGCTTACTTATACACAGTGAAACTATAACAGATTAAGAAGTTAAGGTGAGATTACAAATTAAGGGGTTTAATTGTTGAACTTATCGTAATTTTTCTGCTAGAATCATTGTTTACCAAACATTTATAGCTAAACCAACAACAGTCTTACAGAACTTGAATTCACTTTACATTAATCTTGTTAGGTATTTGTAAACTTTTTTAAAACTAGACTATAATAGCCTTTACTAATAAGAGAAAGATTACTTGACTAGGTGAGTTGAAATTATTTGGAAGAGGAACTAGAAAGAACCAATGAGGTCAAGTATCTAGGGGTAACACTAGATTCACAAACTCATTGGAGCACTGATATTAACAACAACAGCTAATGTGACTCTTCTGGAATAGCAGATGAGTTAAATCTGGGTGCTGAAACTAAAGGTAATCTGTTGGTTATACACATCAGTGATATGACAATTACACATTGTTCAGTAATTTGATGGAAAAAGATGATTTGCAATTTTGTGTGACCTATCTCACCACCCTACAAACCTCTAAATCCCCCTCCACCTCTAAATATGACAGGAGCCTTGAAAACCACAAAAACAGCACTTTCAGACGCTAGCATGGTTTTCACCCACCATAATTAAAAATTTCAACAGTAGGACTTTTATGAACATCCTGAGACTTAAAGCAAACAATACTTGTAGCCTAAGATCCTACTGCAGAATTACTATATTCATAAGGTAGTTAATCAAACTCACATTTGTATTTACAGAAATTTAAAATTAGAAGAATACATTGATAATAGATTGCCAGTCAAAAAGTGGCGCATATATTTTTAATTCAATTAATAGTTATGAATTTTTGACAAAAAATTTATTTTGTTCACTATTTTTTAAATAAAATGTGCTGCTCATTACATAAATGCATATTTTTTATATCAAATTAAAGCTATTTTTTTTCTTAATATATGTTTGCTTGAGAAAAAATGGTCGAAAATTAGGATGCCAGCTGTTAAAAATGTGTGGTATTAAAGATAAAATAAGACAGCTAGCGTGCAACGCTACTGGTTTAAAAAATAAATGAATGAAATAATATATTTGTCAAAAACTAATTAAATGTAAGTATGTAAAAATGTGAGTTTGATGAACTATGTTATAAACATACTGATCCTATAGTGGGATCTTGTACTATTGGAGGTCAAATTATGTATAGAATAGTCACATTAATACTACTGGGGATTTATTATGGTTCACTGATGGATCTAAAACTGTGCATGGAACTGGATCTGGAGTTTTTGGGCACACATGTAAATTTAATAAATCTCACAGCCTATGTCAATGTACCAACGTCACCTAGGATTTTTACTAGAAACAATTAGTAGTTTAACTATCTACCTACAATTTCCTATACTAAAAGGATTTTATACATACAGACAAAGGGAAGGAACAATACCAATACCAGTAAACTTTAAAGAATTTATTAAAATATACCTATTATTCTACAAAAGCAACAAATTACAACTAATCCCATCCTTCTTTAACCCTTAAATGTGCTAGGCGGGATTCTATTGTTACTTTTTCATAAAACGGTTTTTGTTTGGTTTTGGTCTTTATATAATTTGCCTCATTCTTACCAAGAGCTCGAGCATGACCAGAAGACTGTTCCTAAAAAATATATAAAACAATATTAATAATCATCTAGGTAAAACTATATAGGTAATAAATAAATGGAAATTTTCAGATTCATTATAGTAATCTCTAAATTTAAGTATAATATAGATGTTAAAATAAACTATTAGAGTTGACAATTCAATAAAACAAAGAACAATGCTGTCAGAAAAATCTTAAGAAGCTGGTAATAGAAATCCTCTTCATATCAACCAGCCAATTTAGACTGGTTTGAGAACATTTGAAGCTTTTCTACTTCGGATAATATTAATTTAGTTAATAAAGATTGTCTTACGAGAGTTAAATATGGATGTCTTAAATAATACATGTTCTTCTCTTCCTCTTCAAGCTCTACTTTCAGTTTTAAAACATCTTTTATCGTTGGCTGCTTCCAAATACGATGTTTCCCAGTGTATATATTTCCATTGGGCATATGTTTTCGCCTGAACAAGGCGTAGAATAGCCTCATGATTTAAAATAGTTTTGACTTTACAAATTTCAAATCTTAATATTTAATATCCAATAACTTAACAAATATTTTAGGCTTAGGATGTACTTAACCTAGAAATTATTATTTCTTCGTGTGTTCTTTTTTTATCTGGCCTTTTATTATTATACAACAGGAACTACGAAAGTTATTTTCTTGTTCATGGCGATGTCCTGCAGGATAAGCACACAAACCAATGAGTTTTTTCACTATTCAAAATATCATGAACAAACATGAATTTATCAAACAAATCTTAACTTTCTCGAAGGGAAATCAGTGACACAGCATGTGCTGTGGCTGTCTACTGATAACATCACAGCCACAGTGGCTGTGATGTTATTTAAAAGAAGAAGAAGAATGATGATGTCCAAATCATTTTTCAACATCATCATCATAGCCAAAAAAAAAAAGAATAAGAAGAACAAAGAGAGCATTTAGGTTACATTTATTTACATACATTTTTACATTTCATTTAGTTTACACTTACTTTTTGAAATATATTTAAAAACTCAAACTGTTTAACATTATTTTTTTGTTTGAATTTGAAACTTTAATATACTTACCGACTTACGAATTTGTTTTTGTACATAGACAAGTGAAGTTTTCGAACAACGTTCTTAAAAGAACGTTCTATACCCTGTTTTTTAACCAGGAGGAGTAAACCAAAAAGACAGATTCACACCCAAGAAAGTTACTAGAAAAGTCACCAAATACATCTTCTTTTTTTGTTGTATATCTCGGCTTTGCGGTAATCGAGTAATCAATATCGGACAACCTTACACGTCAATTCTAACCTAACTTTATGTTTTAATAATATTTTTTTTTAATTCACTTCCAATATATATTACAATAAAAAAGGACGTTTTTCACATTTGGTCCCATGTATATATATTTAAATATCGGATGATCCAGTTTTATAGATCTTTTGAGTCGATGGTACTTAATTTAGAGAATATTTTGATCCAGAGAGTCAATAATGTTACAGATCTAAGTATGGTTTTTCACAGAAAGTTGTCTTTTAATTTGCAAACAGATCTTATGTGCAACAAAGCTATTCAAATGCATGTATCAAAAAGTTAGAGAGAGTTCAAAGATTTCTGAAATACTGTTCTTTTAAACTGCGTAGACCATATTCTTATTCTGGTGTGATTAATCTTTGAATCTAGGTTTTTTTTCTTACCAGAAGAATTAACTTTGACTTTAATCATTATTTTTAAGCTTAATAATCCAATCTCCTGAATTGCTGCAGACAGTTTGTTTTACATATTCCTTCCCATTCACTGCTTTAGAATTGACTTTTTTATGTTTCATATCACAGAATAAATTATGGTTCAAATATAGGTGTGGTCCTACTTTTCATTTCATGCATGGTAATCAGTTACCTCATTAGATAGATTTAACTTATGTATCAATATCTTAAGGATCTATTTGAAGCACTAAAATGCAAAACAATAAATTTGTATAAATAAGTGTGTACTTGCAATTTCTTTAATACTGGATTCTTGTTTAATTTTGACAGTGAGTTTGTCCCATTTGTTATCAATAAATAAAATTTACTAAAAAATACTGGATTTTGTGACATAATCAACTAATTCAATCTATTATGTTACATTCTAGTATAATTTTGTAGTTTTCTTGTGATGATCTACAACAGGAAGAACAAAACCAACTGTATCAATACAATCAAAGTAAAACACAACATTACTAATGTTCTTTTATTGTGATGAAAACAAAATGAAAATGCTTCTTAACAAGTATACACAAATTTAAAAGATAGTTGCCGTTTTTCTTATGATAATTAGATATAAATATCATACATTTATAAATTTATAAACACTGTAAACTCTATTTATTATATATATATATATATCAGCTAGAAAAATATCACATTAAATACTATTATCGCATATCACCAAGTCCAAATGAACAACTACAATATTTTGAATTTCTTGATTTATTTTTTCAGCAAAAACTTAATCTATTTTAGATATTTGAGCAAGAAAGTTTTGTTTTTGGTCAGCAGCCCAATGTATAAACTATTCTTTGAATAATTTCCCCTAAAAAATAACTATGGTAAGACATTCATAATATACACAATAAATCAATCATCATTTAAAGTAAGATAAACAATCTATAGTTAGGTATGCTATGTAATATTTGCTGCATTGAATCTGCATATGTAAAGTAAAAATATCCTTTTTTTTTCCTTTTCTTCCCTTTGCATGTTCTTATATCTGTTGAACCAAAATACTTGACAACATTCCAGTAGAGTATACAAATAAAAACTTAAAACTTAATATTTAATAGTAACAATTATATACCTGATTATAAAAATGAAATCTATAAAATGTTTTAGTTAATTTTACTATATAATTGTAGCTAACCCATATTTACATACCAATATTTGTACTTACTTCAAATTGATTTGCTTCAAGAATTTATATAATAATGAACGACACATATTTTGGAAGATCTGAGCGGTTGTCAATTTCACTTAAAATTTTACCTAAAGTGAGCATTTCATTCTTGAAAAAGAAGCTGTGTACTATCTGTCGTATAGATGTTTTAACTCTTTCATAATATTTGTAGGACATTTTACTGCTCCAGTCTGCTTATATTCTATAATTGTTCTAAATTCTATTGTTGTAAATAGTTGAATTCGCAATACCTAAAATTAGCACATTACTTTAGTAAGTCTTGATTTTAATAATAACTATTCTGTAAAACTAACCTGCTGCCAGTTTTATTTTTACTACCGTGGCTGTTATTTTTATTCCAGAATTATCAATTTTCATGTTTGTACATGTTTATAGTACAATGTTTCTCATTTGATGACAAATGATCCAAATCTACTCGGCGTTTTTAAGGCGGAGAAGAATAATTACCACTAGTACTTGGCATTGAATCCATATTGTTATCTTAATAACACTAATATGTCGCTAAATAGTTCTGAAAAGAACTGTTTTTTGTATAAATGCAAACGAAAAATCTAAAGATGTAAGAAATAACACAGAAAATTGTCGATATAAATTTTGAATTTAAAAATTTCACAAATGTCATTAGTGTCAATATGTCATAATTTAGTGGAGTAAACTTGCCTGCGCTTCGACCAATTACAAACAAGCATTATGGCGCGGAAAATTTGAATTACTCCTCCTGGTTTAAAAATAGACCATAGTAGTTAGTATAGTAACTAATATTAGAAAGATACAATCTATACCAAAGATTTTAACATTTATAACTTATTTTTACTCATCTATATTAGTGGTGAGTGTTAGTGTAGTCATTGTTAAGTGCCTTTGAAATAATGATAATTATATTCAATTCAGTAATTTGTTTTATATTTCTTAGAAAAATAGACTTATAGTGTGATATAAATAGCTTCAATAATTTTAAAATAGTTACTTCTCCTTCCTCAGCAGTTACTTAGCTGTGGGATAAAAAAATTGCTGACTGCTTTAGTTGAGGTGTCTGTCTAAAAACTAAAAAAAAAAAGAAAAAGGGCAATAACCATGTTTATAACATTAAATATAATAAACACAGAACAAACTGAGTCAGATAATTTGTGTTTAAAAATTAACAAATTTTCACCTTCTTACAATAACTAGCTAAATTGATTGTTGATGGAGTATAGTGGTTAACAAAAAGGATATTTTATTTATATTATACTTACATTATTTATTGGATTTAATATACACATAAGGTTAATTTTAGTAATGAGGTACTAATTCATTTTTGTATAACTATCAGTTTGAAAATATCACATGGTAAAACTCCAGAAAGATTCTGAAATTGCTTTGTGTGGGTATAACATGATACAATGCAGTTCATCTAAACGAACTATAGGGGGTGTTGTACTCTGTATTCAGGAAAACCATAAGTGTATTGCCACTAAAACTTTTGTTAAAGAAGATATTTTTGGTGTAAATTTATTAAAGTAAATATTGGTTCCTACAAGCTTGTTTTGGGCAGCATGTATCATTTTTCTTCTAGTTTTGATGCAGTTTTTTTAGAGAACTTAGAGCATATTTTTGAAGAATTATTTAAAAGTAATGTCAATTATAATTTACTTGGCAATTTTAATTTGGATTTTTTAAGTACTAGCTTCTACACCCAGAGAATTAAAGCAATGTTTTTACAATGTGGCATTAAGCGACTAGTAACTGAACCTACTAGAATTACAAATGTTAGTGAAACCTTAATTGATTATGTTCTTGTTAGGAACTGGTTAGTTGTTTTGTTTATTCAATTTATTCAACTCAAGTTGAGTGATCATTCAATAATATCAGTCAGTTCTATAAATCTGACTGATATTATTGAAGTTCTATCTTATAGTAATAGTTTTCAAGATTTTAATGTCTATAGTAAATGATACAGATATCTTAACAAAGAAAAAATACATCAAATCTAAATAAATTTACTTTTTGTGATTGGGATTTAGATTCTACCGTTAATTGATTTGGGTTATTCAATCAACGATTCTACTGATGTCAATACTATTTACAATGACATTTTATCAGTCAGTGTATCATAAATAAAATACCATCTATTCAAACTTATCAGATCAAAAGTAAAAGTATATTGTTTGATAATGAAGTTAATAGTAACATTAAAATTAGTTACAAATTATGCAAAGTTTAAAACTGCTAACATAAGTGATAGAAATGCCAAATGGGAGGTTTTTGAAAGGTCAAGAAATGTGGTAGTTAATAATATCTTAAAAGCAAAAGAACAATATTATTTTGATAAAATCGATAGGTACAAAAATAACTCTAGACTTATGTGGAAAATGCTAAAAACACTAATTGACAATAATTTTGTCAAAAAATTCATTTATTCAATTAAATTTAAGGTTCAGAATCAGTTTTGTATTGTGACAATGTTGAAATGGTGTGTCAGTTTGGTGAGTATTTCGTCTCTAGTATTTGGCAGATTTTTTAAACTATCGACTCTGAAGAATTTTTCAGTCAAGAATCAGTCTTTGTTAAGTTATTAAATAATAGGAGTAACATTATTTCATTAATGGAATACTAAACTCCTACTATTAATAAAAAATTATACTTACTAAAAGAGTTTGTTGTAATTTGTCACATTATCTTAAATTATATAAATACTTCTCTTAGATCATCCAAAATTCCAGATTTATTAAAAATCAGTACAATTGTTCCAATACCAAAAGTTATTAATACTATTAAGAAAATTGTTTTCCTGTTTTGCGAGACATGCTGTTACATTTTACTTTTATTATTCACTCGCATTAACCTTTTCTATTTGTTTTAAACGTTTTAACGTTTGGCATTAATTTCCTCAGATAGCTGTAGTTTCCTCTGTGGTTATTGTTAGTTGTTGCACTGGAAACCATCTGGGTCTTCTAACTCTAATGCCACAAATTTAATCGCATTGTTCCTGTAGTGGTTCCTTCCCAAGTTAACAAGCTCCTTTTCTAACTTGACTGCAGTACTGAAGACGACCAATAGTCAGAAATACGTATATATGGTTGCCTTCCATCGATATACTTATTTTGTTTCCCTGTTTTGCGAGACATGCCATTGCATTTTACTTTTATTATTCACTTTGTAAAATCAGTTTGCAAAGATCGGTTAAGCAAAACCGGAATTAAGCCGTTTTTCTATAACAAGATTCCCACTCTTCTCCACATCTTGTTTAAAAGTGTTTTTTGTCATTGAAAATAAACACAAAAATTTAATCCTATTCATTTCTTCTTCTCTAATTTAGTAGGTACTGAAATTATCCCTAGATACCTAAAGATTGTTCATGGATCTCAATTTTTTAGATGTTTCTGTTACTTCTGGACCGTCAATAATTTTTTCTAATTCTTTTTAGGCAGTAAGCAAGTAAAAATGGATACCAGCGGATCGCTGTTGATGTTAGCAATATTACATGGTGACTATAACGAAGCTGTCAGATTGCTAGACAATGGTATGGACTTGAGTTATATAGAATCGACAGGATTTTCACCGTTACACAGAGCTGTAGAAAAGGGAGATGTAGGGATAGTAGAACTATTACTTAAAAGAAATGCCAATGTTAACTCCAATGTTGATGGACTTAATCAACTTGTACATCAGCCCCTACACCTGGCAGCTAAGTGCGGTCATCTTGATGTGTTAATATTATTGATAGCATATGGTGCATCTTTAGAAACCAAATGCCCAAACGGATTTCTAGCAATACACTTAGCAGCACAAGAAGGTCATTTTAATATAGTTAAATATTTTGTTGAAAATAAATGTTACCATGTTGATATTCAGAGTAACAACCTTCGGACGCCTTTAATGTGTGCTGCCATCCCTGGTCACACAGAAATTGTAAAGTTTTTGATCCAATGCAATGCCGATGTTAAGAAAACCGATGTGTTTGACAGTACGGCTTTGCACTATGCATGCCAGGAAAATCATGAAGATATCTTCGAGATATTGATAAGAAAAGGTTGTAACCTCGATGCTAAAATGTACAATGGAGATACACCTCTACATATATCTGTTAGGCAGGGACACCTTAGCGCAGCAAGGCGCCTTATAGAAAGCGGAGCAAGATCTTTTCTAGAAGAAGGTGTTAGTGGAAATAGCCCAGTACACTTAGCAGCTCAGCACAATCGGAAAGAAATGCTGGAATATTTCTTCAAAATGGGCATTAGTGTTGATTTTCAAACGGTAGATGGCTACTCTTTGTTGCATGTCGCTGCTAGATTTGGACAATCACAAATAGTTACGTTCTTACTTCAAAACGGAGCAAATATCGAGGGTAAAATTATTTCTAGAGGTATTACTGCCTTACATTTAGCTTCAAGTTCTAATCGCGTTGATGTTATAACAGTTTTATTAAATAAAGGAGCTGATGTAATGGCAATAGATAAAAAAGGTCGAAAACCACTGGATGTAGTTTATGAACATTTTAATGCTGATCCAAATGAAATACGAAGATATGATATGAAATGTAGTACGCAGCTATTAGTAAAACACATGCTATTATTCTACAAAGATATAGAAGTGTCAACGCCAAGCTATTTTCCAAGTGGAACAAGCATAGACGAATTTAAACAGAAGTGCCTAGAAGAAATCGAACAATTGAAAACCTGTATGATAGAGAATACCACGGTGTCTTTATATACTTTTTTACAAGCCTTACGTAATAAAAATAAATTATTAAACTTTTTACGCAACCACCAATTACGAGAAGAAGTGAAAAATATTAAACAATATATTGACAAATATCCGATTTATTCCAGCCTTTTGCCAATGATCTTAGACGAAGTACATAGTGGTATAAAAAGACTACAGCTACTGGAAAAAGCTGCCACTGCAATGGAAATCATTGTTCCAAGTCTTATATTGGAGTGTAAAATAAACATCTTGCAAATGCTAAATAATGAGGATCTAACCAGTCTCATCGAATCAGTAAAAGTCGAGTTTTATTAGTGATATCTTATTTTTCTTCCACTTCGAGTGCCTTACTTTTAAAAACGTTGCTCATCGATAGTAGGTACTTTATGTATACAGATAACGATATTGTTTTGTTGACCATAGGAATTAAGATTTATTGCAATCCCGTCTCTAGAGTATATTTATTATAATGCTCTAAAACTAATGTTTTGGTTATTTTTTAGCCTTAATCGCAATACAAATAAATAAGTAAATAATGCTTTTGTCACTGACAATTTTAGAAATTTTATGGACAGAGCTTAACAATAAGACAAGAAAGAAGAAAAAAAATCAGAATAAGAGTCGTTTGTACTATTAAATAAAAAAAAAAACAATAAAATTCTTCCAAACTTAAACATAAAAAGTACTACCTACTTAAGAACCTACAAACTTCGTAAAATGTACCTAACAAAAAATAAAAGGAAAGCAGATTAATGAATTAAGGGCTCAAATATTCCACCTCCTTGTGCTAAACAGTAACCAAATATGTCATACAGATTTCTCCTCATATTTTGGAGTAGGGCTAGTGTAATGCTTGCATAGAAATGAAGTATTTTTGCCCTTAAGGTCGTCAAGATTAATTGAAAATACTTTGAATAATTGTAAAAAATAAATGAATTATTTCAGTGTTATAAAGTGTTATGTGTATGTAAACAAAAGTGACCTCTTTTATCACACACTATATTAGAACTGACTGGCCTACATTAAAAAGGGTTTTAAAAAATTCACATTTTTTTTTAATTTTTAAAAAATTACAAAAGAGAAAAAGAGTTTTTAAAACCGTCTAAGGTATGTTAAATAGATGAATAAAAATATTAATATAAAACTTACAGCTACTTGTTACAAATCCAAATCAGATTCAGAAGATGAACTTTCAGAACCAAGATTTATAATAACTGGCTCGATCATTTTATCAGTAATATTGTCCAGCTTCCACATTTTTTCCTCTTCTTAATAGTGTGATTTACTGCCTTTTCCCAGTTTTCAGGTTTTACATTATTTACGGCCTCCAAAAACAACTGTTTAACATCATGAATTTTAAAAGTGGTATTTTTTCTTGAAACTTCACTCTTTATCTGTGCCCATACCAGTTCAATCGGGTTTAATTCACAATGATATGGTGGGATCTAAGTACTGTCATTCCACGATTTTTGGCAATTTCATCAATTTCGTATTTTTTAAATTTTTCTTTATGAAGGGCACACAACGAATAAAGTTCCTTTCTTATAGATCCGGGATGGTACGTAATATTTTTTGAACTCAGCCAATTCTGCAAGTCTTTTTTAACCACTTGGTTGTGGGCAGTCCTTCTATAAGTCTGGAGTGATAACTTGCATTATCCATTACTATTACACAGTTCTTAGGAAGAAGATCTATCATTTGTTCGAACCATTCTTGAAAGACATCAGCGTTCATGTCTTCATGGTAGTCACCGGTACGAGTTGATTCAAAAGTTAATAAACCACCTTCAACAAAACCGTCTGAACTGCCAATGTGTACTATTATCAGCCTGCGTCCCTTTCCTGATGGTGGGTTTAAACCAGTAGATAAGTTATTTACAAAAAGCGTGCCTTTGACTTGTAACAGTTTCATCCTGCCAAAATTTATTTGGTGTATGACCCTCGTTGATCCATGTTTCATCAAGATAAAATATTTTTCTTTTTTGGTTTCTCATTTCCTTTATGGTTCTTAGAAAATGTCTTCTCCATATGACAATATCGCTTCTTTCTAATAAAATAGACTTTCTGGGATTCTTTTTCCAGCGGAAGCCTATTTCTTTTAAAAGTTTCCATAACGTACTTCGACTCATTTCTGGGTAATCCTTATCATCTCGAACTGAGACAAGAACTTTATCCAATGTTGGAAATTCTTGTCTAAAGAAGAATTCATGCACTTTCCGTCGAAGTCCTTCTTTAAAATGATATTCTATTTGAAATTTTGGTTTCCTGGAGCATTACGTGGCTTTGAAAACTACCACATTTCTTCTTTAATAACTCTGTAAATCGTAGATTTCCCAACACCAAGTGTACTGCTAACTAACTCAACGGTCTCATCAACACTTTCACATAAACGTTTGTCTGTAAATGATTTAAAACAATTAAATATTAATGTTTTTTCATTAACTGTTAAAGGACCAATTTTTCGGCGTTTACACGGCACTTCCAAATTTTCCATAACACTAGTATACACAATAAACTGCACCTTGCAACTGAAGTACCTACTTTTAGTGAACTGTTAAGAATTTTGAATACGCCACTTGGACCTTCCTACAAAATGGAAAAACCCACTATCACATTTTCTGTGGAATAAGTTTAGAAGGTAATTATCTAGTCAATTACTGTCGTAGATTCCTGGAATTAAAGAATTAATGTTTGATTGTTGAAACCTTACTTCGTGGAATGCACTCATTTCAGATAAAATAAAACGTTTTATTTTATCTAAAGAATTAAACTTTATTTTGCAAATAGGTAGGTATTTATTAAACTTTTATTGGTTATATATAACCAATAAAATAAACATCTTACATTTCTTGCAAATTCATTAGTACCTGTTAACCTCCATCACTCCGACACTGGCAACCTTATTTAGGGATTAGTAACCCTCACAACTATTGTATTCTATTCTGCTCCAACCTTTATACCTGGTGGTCATACTCAATTTAAAATTGTTTTCCTATATACTTCTGTAAACTTGTTGACAAATATCGTTTTTCATTGAGTCACCCGTATCAACAGTTTAGGGATTTGCATACATAATTTATTGTTTTATTACTCTCTCAAATAAAATAACTCAAATGATACATATTTTCTCTGTTGGCAAACAATGAAAGTTAGGCGCTAAGTCACAGGATCTAATGAGCCATTTAATTGTACCACGTGTACTTATCAATCGATCAGGAAACGTTTGATTGAGGAAGTCAATAGTTGCTCTAGAGTTGTGAGCCGAACACCCGTCCTGTTGGAAATAAACTTGAAAATTTAAGGGGAAGGCTTCGAACTGCCGGAACTCATTCTGTAAAAGTTAAAACTATTTAAGCCCATTTAGGTATGTCGCCTAACATCCCAGTCCAAACATTTAACTTTTGCGGATGCTGCGTTCGCACTGCAACACTGAGGTGCTTATTTTTAAGAAGTGTACAGTTTTATTCTGTTTATCTAACATAAAATTTATAAGAAATAATGTATCTGTACACGATTTTCCACTACGAAAACCCTGTTGTTCATATGCTAAACTTATCCTCTGATTTATTAGCACTTGTAACATTTTAGCTTTAAATTTTAGCGTAGTATTTAACAAGTTTATACCTCTGTATTTTTATTTCTGTTTTTCTGTTCTTGTTGTGTTCCATAGAAGTCGTGTTCCATCTGTTTTGCGAAGTTCTACCAGTTTTCCTTTTTTATTTGTCCAACTAAAGTATTCGTTTCATTTCTGATTCGTTTATAGTGTTTGTTGTGTTCTGTATTGTAAAAAGACTTTCTTTATTTCTTCACAGTTTGTCTTCACTTCTTGTCTAAACCATGGGGTATTCTTTTTTGATATGTTAGTGTTTGTTACTTTCCTCTGTCCAAGTGATTCTATTACCGCGTTAATTATGTTATTTTTGAGTTTTCCCAGCTTTCCTCGATGTTCTCTGTTTTTAATATATCCATTCCAGCAATCTTCTCTGATATTTTTTTTTCTGTATAAGTTATCACTGTTAATAGGTATTTAAATTTTTTGCAATTTTTTATATCTAGGTATAATCAAGAGTGGTCGGTCTCTTTTTCGTCCTAAATTCTAGGATATTCCATTTTGTAAATGTTGATGGTGAATCCCCAATCGATATCTTCCTCATCGTTTACAATACTCACATGATCGTCTGTGAAGAAAAGATTTATTATGTACTTGTTCCCATCCCTGTGCATTTTCTCGTAAGTTGTTTAATGCTTCCTGAATATAGATTTTGAATAGAGTCGGAGATAACGTCCTTGCCTCACGGCTTTTGTGACTTTTTGCATTTATATACTTGTTTGCTATAGCTTTGATGTATGCATAACTTAGGCCCATTTTTGTCAATATTTCAAACAATCATTTTAACGGTACGGTATCGTAGGTCTTCTTTAAGTCAACGAACATTTTGAGTCAGTAAATTTGTGGTTGTTCTATTCTCTATAATTTGTTGAAGTTGAAATATATTATCAACACAAGATCTGCCATCACGAAATTCACTACGATCTTTTATTTCTTAATATTGGTTTTCTAGTCCTACTGTACTTCCTACTGTTGCAACTTCTACTCAGTGGAAACAATACCAATTAAAGAAAAAACATGGGAAAAGAATTCAAAGAACAAGAAATGCAGGAGCGAAAACGAAAACGAGACGAAAAGAAGATTTTGCAAGAAAACAAAACAAAGCGGAATTACAAGGAAAATTCAGATTCTGATGAAGAGAAGATTCTGAAAGAAAAAGAAAAACAAAACGAAATTTCAAGGAAAATTCCGATTTTGAAACATCTGATGAGCAATTAAATTTGAAATCTGATAGTGGTGATAACTATTGTTCCAACATTCAACAAATCTCATTTAAAAGAAGGTGACCATTATGTTATTGTTTTTTATGAAGATCAACTCCCGGAAAAAAATAAAAGAAATAGAAGAAAATAAGGCGTTTGTTAGTGTTATGGTAAATAGCAACAGCAAGTTTAAATAATCGTGGAATGTACAGAGGTCCAGAAATAATAAAGTTTTCCAGTTTTAATTAAATATTTGAACAAATAAGTTAATTTTTTTTTATTTAAATAACTTTTTTGATATGTCAGGTATTCTAAAGATATGTTGGGAGTACAAGCAGTTTTTAAAAGACGATGTAAACTTTTAATTATTGTTCAAATTATTTATTATTATTCAAATATACATTAAAAAAATTCACTTTAGTATAATTGTAAATATTCATTAAAACACAAATAATTAATTACTAGTAACAGATAATAAATTATTCGACTTTTTGGATACCTACTATATTAGTTATTGAAATGTATGTATTGATTAAATATTTATACCTAATTTTAACAATTTGCAAGGTCTCCAGTTAATGTATTATTTATTTTAACATATATTCATCTATATTTATATACAGTAGTATCAAAGCCATGTGATTTTAAAACGGTGTCAATCCAATCTACGAACATCATAACGTTAACATACACTCCCGGCGTATTTTGCATCCCGCACGTTAGGCCCCAAGACACGATCCCAACTTGATGATACTTCCCAGGTTTTCCCATAACAGGACACATTAGCGGACTTCCACCATCACCTTTACAAGTGTCTTTTCCAGATTCTCCCCCTGCACAAATAAAACTTTGGTGAAGGCTGAAAAATGGACCGAGTTTCTTGTCTTGTAATGTCTTCACGCATCGGTTTCTGGGAACCAAAGGTAAGTCCATTTTTTTCAAAGTCGACTGATAGGTTCCTTTTTTATGTGAGTTTTTACCCCAGCCTGAAACCACGCAGCTCTTACTGTCTATTTGTGCCCCTCGAAAAGGTAAGCATATCAATCCAATATTTTCGCTTAGTTTGAAGGGGGATTTCAAGATGATGATTGCTATATCATTTCGAAGCGATGCTGGATGAAATTGCGGGTGAATAATAATCTGAAACAAATATATTTTATTTAATATAGACTATCAAATATGTTTATAAATAAATAATCCCACAAGTTCAAAGCAAACAAATAACAAATTATCAAGGAAGATCCTGAAACACTCACAAGGGAATCGAAGAGAACAGCAATACATAGAGGAGAAGGTGGTAATATGGAACCTGTTGTTAGTACATACGAATCAATAGAAAAACAAAAATAGAAAAAAAACACAGAACCCAAATAAAATATATTTCGATCTGTAGTGTTGCAGCATTGCCTAGAGCAAGACGAGCAGAAAGAAGAAGTATTTTAATCTGATTTAAATAATAATATAACACCATAAAAAACTCTTAAAGTCATAACATATCTCCACTTTATCTTTTTCTAACACACCAACGATATATGCCCATATAAAAATAATTATACACTAATGACAGTAAACAACTGATAGATCAATATGTAAAAACATCGAGGTGCTGAACAAATTTAACACCGGCAGTGACCATAGACTAGTTCATGCCGACATACGTATTAACGGAAACAGAGAAAGACGAAAACTATTTACAACAAATCCTGTACCGAGAGACATCCTAGACAGTAATAAAGAGAAATACCAAGAGGAATTAGCACAGAAACTATAATTATAGTAGCAAATACCTTTGAGCATAAGAATATAGTTGAACTAGCTGAGAAAATAACTAAAGACATATAAACAGTCACTAAGAAACTTTGTTGCAGAATAAAAAAAGAAGCTAAACTAAAACCCGAGACTCTAGAAGAATAAATGCCTATTGGAAGGACAAATACCAAAAGCATGGAAAATGCGGAAGTTATTCTACTCCATAAAAAAGGAGACACCGCAAATATAGAAAAATACCGACCAATAAGCTTATTGTCACACCTTTACAAACTACTAACCCGAATAATAACAAATAGATTGAGAGCTAAGCTAGATGCATACCAACCAGTGGAGCAAGCAAGGTTTCATAAGGGTTTTAGCACTATTGATCACTTGCAAACAATCCTGAGAGTTATTGAAAAAATAATAGAGTAGATACAACATACTACTAAGAGATATCCTCCTTAAGAATATATACGATGATGCTACTTTTCACGTAAAAATAGATGATGATCTAGAAACAATGAAAATATACCTTGGCAAAGGTGTGAGACAGGGCGACACCATCTCACCCAAGTTATTTACTTTGGCATTAGAAAATGTCTTCAAAAAACTAAATTGGGCCGAAAAAGGATTAAAAATAGATGGAGTATATTTTAACCATTTACGTTTCGCAGACGAAGTACTAATAAACACACTTATCTATGAACTAAAATCAATGCTACAAGATTTAAATCACAAATCGAATCAAATAGGATTAAAAATGAATCTCGACAAAACAAAGATATTAAGCAACAACCTAGAAAACATCACGATAGATAACATCATATATATATAATATATATATATATATATATATATATATATATATATATATATATATATATATATATATATATATATATAACATCAATATAGAAAAGGTAGATATATATATTGTTATACAATAACAAGAGATACACAATTAAAAACGAAAAGGAAAATCAAACCCTAGAAATTAAATGGACACAATTGTCATGGGCTGCTTTTGGTAAGTTGAGCTTCATTTTAAAAGACAGTAAAATCCCAATACACTAAAAACGAAAAACCTATGCACTTGTATACTACCAGTTGCAACCTATGGACTAGAAACTATGGCAATAGCAAGAAAAATGGCAAAACAATTAAGAGTAACTCAACGGGCCATGTTAAATATAAGCCTCGTAGACAAAATTCCTAACACCGCAATACGTCGAAGAACTAAAGTAACCGACATCATGGGAAAAATACATTGAGATGGCAATGGGTAGCACATGTAGCAAGACAAGACATTAACAGATGGTCTCATGAAATGACATTCTGGAGACCTCGAGAAACAAAAAGAAGCGTGGAAAGACCCAAGAAGAGATGGACAGACGATATAACAGCTGTAGCTGGAAAGCAGTGGATGAGAATTGCAAAAGATAGGGAAGCGTGAAAGCAATTGGAGGAGGCCTATGTTCAACAATGGATAAATGAGATCTGAAGAAGAACAAGACAGTAAACCATGAGGTATCAGATATCAATTTTTACTTGTCAATTCATTAATGTCCGTGTCCCGTTTTTCGTTTTGGTAAGTCTTACATATTTTACAATAACTTTTTGTTCCTAATCTTGTATATTTTAGAGTCTTGACAAAGGCAAGGGTTTCCTGCCGAAACGTTGATTTCAATGGACAAAAAAATTTAGTCTTAAATATAATATATTTTATTAAACCTAAACCCAAGAAATACTAATTTTATATTAAATATAGTATGATTCAATAAACTTATATATATATATATATATATATATATATATATATATATATATATATATATATATATATAATATGTATACGTATTATATGTACTATCTTTGAAAATAATATTATATATTATAAGATGGCGTTTTCAAACAAAAAATTGCGTTGTCTGTTATATCTCTCATTTGGATCGGACTTGCCAAAGACCTGATTTATTAATACACAGAAACGTAAACATTAGACGAAATGTTAAATGACAGTTCGCTTAGTTAATTGCAAAGCCTTTTTCTTAACGATGTGTGTATTTATTTTAGTCGGTGTAAAAATATGTTTCCAGCAAATAAAAGTAAAGGTATGAAAAAGTATGTGACATGTTTTGTTGTCTATTAAGAAAATTCCTAAGTCTAAAGTATACCGATGGCAAAAAAATGTAACTCCCAGAAAGAAAAATTTTAAATATTTATTTATGGAAGTGTACATTATAATGTTTTTATTATTTGATAATATTATACAACGTCATTTTCGCCAAAAAATAATTAATTAAAAATCAAAAATTAATGAGTGACACCTTCTTGATTTTCTATACACTCATTTAATCTATGAAGCATAGATCGCATTAGGTGGTCTGAATATCATATTGCCGAATACTCATTAAGATTCTTTTTATGATATGCCACAGGTCTTCTAAGTTTGCTGGAGGACGTGCCAATCGATTTAGGTTTCGACCTACCATATCCCGCACATGTTAGATGGGTGACAAATCTTGATGGCCACTCTAAAGTCGTTATACCAGATTCTTGTATGACCTTCAAGGTTTCACGGGCAATATTAGTACTAGCGTTATCCTGTTGAAAGATCGCATTTGGTATAGTTTGTAGGTAGGGACGTAAAACCGGTTGCAGAACTTCACCAATATATCGTCGAGGTATCATTAATAAGAACTAGAGGTGATCTGCTTCCCAAATATATAGTATTATATACCATAATGCTTGGTTGTCTGACTGTATGACGTTCAACAGTCAAGTCTATTTTTCGTCTTTCACCTCGAAAAAGTCTTACTCTTATGCGCCCATCAGAGCCACCCAAACAAAACTTAGATTCATCGCCAAAGTAGACAAAATTCCATTGACCATTCTAATTTTGTCAAGTTCTGTAACATTTTTAGCGTCGAGCCTTATGCTGTGGTGTCAAAGCTAACACCAAAAGTGGACGGTAAGCTCTTAGTCCCATTGCAAGTAATCTGTAATTAACTATTCCTCTTGAGACTACTCTTTCTATAGCTGCAACTAAATCATCTCTTACTTGAAGTACACTGTCTCATCTATTTCTGAGAGCAATAAGTCTAAGATGGTACAAGTCACGGCCTTGCAATATTCTAGGACGTCCAGATCCTTCAAAACGGCCAAAAGTCTCATCCTTGTCAAGGATGTTAAAGATGTTGTAAAGGCCAACACCTTTAATGAAATAGCTTCAACTGTTTGTGAAATTTCCTGTAAACCAAAACAGGACTCTTTCATGCCCACAATGCGTTCTTTTTCGAAGTCGTTTAGGTGTGAAAGCACCTTTTCTCTTTACTGCTTTTGGAAATCCTTGAAAAAATAAACAGAGTGCAATTTTAACTAACACATCTGACTTTTATCAGTTAAAACTGCAAGCAACAACCAAGAAAATAACTCATCAGAATAATAAACGAATTAATGGTAATTTCAATAAGGTAAGCGGCTCAGCAGCAAAACAGAAAAAAAAGTAATAGCGCTTCATCTGAGGAGAGTGAAGAACTAATCAATTACTATGATTCTTCTGGCTATGAATGTGAAAATTTACAGTTGACAGACGATTATGGCATTGATTCTAGTACAGAAATTTCCATTTATAGTTTATTGATTAGTGAAATTTGAAAACAATATATTTTATGTTGCTATAGTTCTCAAGACATTAGAGGATAATGAATTTAAAGTGTCATTTTTAAGAAAAAGTGGTAAGCTGCTCTATTTTTTCTTTAGCTGAAGTCATTGTTGCAGTAGCAAGGTCAGACGTTGTATCAATTCTACCAAAACCAAAAAATGTAGATAAAAAACAAGCACCTTGCATCTTATTTCAAATTTGATGTAAAGTTTGACAGTATTAAGATCTGTTAAAATTTTCTTTCGATTCAGATTTTCTATTGTCCTGTAAAATAGTTATTTTCGATGATAAAAACTACACTCTGTGTATTTACTTCAACAAATTATTGAATTAATACCACTTGACTGATTGTGCACCACCACTTGACTCATTGTGTACCACCAATGGTGCACAATGAGACAGATGTAAACGGTTAGAAAAATAATCATATATGTTGTTTCTTTACTCATGAGGAAATATTTATTTCAGATTATATTGAGGAAATAATCATATTGAAGCCTGGTTAACTCAGTTTGTAGATAAATTCAAAAATGTCAATGTCAGCAATAAAAATGTGTTTTTTGTCTCATTGTGTACTACCCTCTCCTAACAAGGATCATACCAAACTAACTATAATTCACTAATAAAATTGATACTTTTAGAACCAATAATTTATCTATAAAAATAAACATTATAATTGTAAGCATTAAATGAAATTAACATGCAACTATTTTAATGTCTGCATGTTAAAATTTTTAAAAATAAGTAACTCTGAAGTATCTTTTTATTTAAATAATACATTTTTTACATTAACTCTGTTTTCAAACATACCTTTTTTGCATGCTGGTCTTGATGTGGCACAGGTTCAGAGCTAGATTCCCAGTTCCATTCTCCTGCTCTAATCTTATAAACTCCTTGTTTGCTTACACAATGAGCAGCTGTCACAGCAACTTGTGGATGTATCAAAGATGCACCACATCTGAAACAAAAGATTGATATTTTTTATTTTTTTGTGCACAACCTGAATATTGTTATGTATAAACTTATATTTGTCAATCAGACTAAGAAAAGGGAACAAAAAGGGATGTAGTACGTAGAATAAGTTACTTTTTATTGCATGATTAGTTAAGTAAATAAAACTATAAAAAGATAGAATGAAAGAAAGGTGGGCCGGATAGCTCAAACGGTAGAGTGTCTGACCATCACACTAAAGAATTGAAACCCCACTAGGGCAACCCCACTTAAATTGGATATGGTTAAAGTTGTAAAGCCGCATGTAATACTAGGCGGTTGAAACTTAACACCGGCTTTGATACTTTGCTTTTATACCATAGGCCCAAGAAATAGCAAACTATCCTGCCATATTCTTAAACTGCACCGGAGATATATAGGAAAAACATTAATATTATACAGAGCCCTCAAAAAAGTCATATTTAGAGTAAGCTTTGAAATAAACATCTTATTCTTCTTCTTTCTCAGGTCTTCCCTGTTCAGGAATCACTGTTAGATCGCATTAGACCAATAATATAATACGCAACAGAAACACGACCCGACACAGAGAGAACAAAAAGAATGTTAGCTACAGCAGAGATAAAACCCTTAGAACAATTGATGGCTAGGCACTACTAGACATAGCTAGAAGTATAGATATACGACGTACTTGCAAGGTAGGCTGGGTGAGAAATGTAAGAATAGAGTGAAACGAGCATATAAGCCGAATGACAAAAAATAAAGTAAAGATGACGAGACGGTTCCCCAAAAAAAAGACGGCTAGTTGTAAGACCACAAAAAAGATGCAATGACAACTTACTGGAGGTACATTGAAAAACAGACAAAGACCTGTTTACACAAAAAGAAGGAGGAAGAAAAATGTGAGAATACTGAGAATAATTGATGGGTTACAAACTCTATAAATATAATTCTACTTTGCAGCTTTAGATTTTAACCATATAAATGTTTAAGTTTTTAAAAAAATGTTTCATTACCTATTTCGCAAAATAATAAAATAGTTTCCATTCCCAAAATGGCATTTTCTATACTTAACATGTATTTAATCTTACCTATATGTTTTTCCTTCCAAAATTCCTAACATCCAAGGAAATTCGGCAAATTCGGCTTCATTATTTTCTCCAAGAATCCTGAATCCAAAAACTTCTTCCTCAAATTGTCTTGCAGTCAAAATGTCATTACTAGAAAGTTTCCTGTTTCCGCATTCGACTGGACAACAAACGTCAAAATCGTTGGTACAAGGAGCCTCATAATCATTGCTGGTTTCCCTTTCTTTTCTGAAAAAGTAAAAGATTAGATTATTATGTAGTGAAAAGTATATTACAAAGATTTTTTAATATAAATTAGAGAAGAACTCTATAATTTTTGGAATGACAAAGTAAAATAGATAACAAAATGAACCATTAGCAACTAATAAACAATCATTAAAACAAATAAAAAATAACAAGCCTGGTCCTCGACGTATATCCGTGAAAATCTTAAAATATGCAACTGATATTTTAGAACATTTTACTTGTAATATAAAGAAAATGACTACGTACTCGCGTACGATATCTAATATATCTGTGTTTACATGTCTAACAAAGATATACGATAATCAATTAAAATAGTTTGGAATAAAATAATAAAAGGGAAAATCAGAGTGGTTGGCAGTATACCAACGTTTAAAATACTTGAACACAATGTAGTAGAAATCGTCTGATGTAAAATGGTATATGTAATTCATTATAAAATTTAAATTACCTAAAAATATTAAAAAGTTCGGCGACTACGAACTGCCCCACGCTACCTAGATTTTAATGGGTTAAGTTTTATAGTAGGATTAAAAGCGACTACGAACTGCCCCACGCTACCTACGTACTTAGATAATATTTTTGTGAACATAATATAGTTTTTATTTTACTTTCTTGTATTCAAAAAGGAACCCAATTCCCAAAGCATGAGCGAAAATTTTAAATGATTAAATAATGAAACTATAACAATAGAAGTAATCGAATAAAGTTTATTTATAAATCTACATTAACTTATATACAATAACAAAAACTACAGTTAAACAATAACAATGCTTAATTCTAATGTCAGACTAGTGATTCAAATAAGTAAGAGTGAACACTTTATTTTAGATTTTAAAAGTTAGCTGCATAATAATTGCAAACTGACTTAATGAAGTCCAATTTAGTAATGTTTTGATTAACGTAATATTCATTTAGCCTATTTTCAATAAAATCAACTTTTCTTTTTGCCGTTTTATCAAGTTTTTTTTCGAATCTATGTGCAGTTCTAATTTTCACATATACTTCTGCTTGAAAATTTAACAAAATGTGTGTAAATTTAAATATGTCAGGATGTGATTTATAAAAACATTCGTTAAATTTCGAGTGAAATGATTCACATGCGTTTGTAGTAAATATAAGAGATGATGAATTTGAAGCCCATATGTAAGGTGGAAATGTTGAATCTTCCGTTAAATAATTATCAACTAGGTAATCACAAAATTGCAAAACTCTGTCATCTTCTGGCATAATATTAAAAAGTTCATCAGAAAAAAAGTCACCAACATCATTTGGATGTAAATAAGGAATGCCGAAAAACAATTTTAAATATTTTCCAATAACAGTTTGATTTTTATATTCCGAGGACAAACCTAAATTTTGAATTTTTCGGTACCAATTTTGTGTTAAATGAAATTTGCAACAAAAAATAATAATGTCGGGCCACACTAACTTGGCTGCATTTTGAATTGCTATTTCAAAATCAGAAATTATTCGCTTCGGTTTGAAATTTAAATTCAAATCTGTACATATTGTTATTAATGTATCAAAAGTACTTTTGTACGATTGCTGTGATTTATTTGGTAACAAACAAAATACTAGAGGAACATAAAAACCATTTTTGTAGCCATGTATAGTAAACATCTGACAAAAATATTTAGAACAGTATTGAAAAGTTCCATCTACATACAAAGAATCTACATTACACAAAAAGTAAAGATTTGTGAAACAACTAAAAATTGCGGAATTATTTTTCGTAGATAATAAAAAGTTTTCACCTGTATTTGTTTTTAAATTTAAGTTCACTAACACTTGTAGAACTTCCTCCTGTGACTTGGGCAATGATGGTGTGGATTTTCGTCTTGTAGCATAGATATTTCTTCGAACGCAAGAAATGTCTTTCGTCGTCAGCGGTAAATTGCTGAATTTTTCCTTTCTCAATTCCTTGTGGACAATCTTAAAAGGTTTTTCACATATATCTTCTACAGCTTTTCTCTTTGTAGAATTACTAAAAATTTGCCGGTCTACGTGGATATCTGGAGCATGATTATGCTCCGATGCTTTTTCAAGAATAACATAATTTTCATCACCTTCCTTTGTGTACACTTTTTGTTGACAGCCTTTTTTGATGCATCGCCATCTAACTTTTCCATCTTTGGAGACATGGGCTTTTGAATATTTATATTCATTAATTATTAATAACAGTTCTCCCCTTTGACTAAACATAGTCGTTGGATTCGCCATTTAAATGTTAAACACAAAACTATACCGTAATACTTGCAACTGAAGTGAATAACTGAAAATATTTATATTCTTACTTTCAACTATGATCAAATTTGGAATTTCCGGTCATTAAGACTTAATCCCCAACTTTCTCGGCGATGGGGCAGTAGGTACTTCGGATTAAAGGCCCCAGGTAGTTCGTGGGGCAGTTCGTAGTCGCCCAAAAAGTTAGGAACAGTCTTATCAGACCATCATCAATGAAAACATTTTAAGAGTAAATAAATTAAATTAAAAAACCACTTAGCCAAGTCTAAACCTTTAAATTACAGTACCGTAGATACAGCTTTCAGCTGGCTGGTATCTTTCGTAGGACTCTAATGTGTCCCTATTTCTAGTAGGGATCTGTTTCCCTAAAGTGAAATCCTCTAATATCGACTTCGTGTCATAACATTTTTTAAAATATAAGATTTTAAATATGTAATCTAAGGGTTACTAGACCTTGCTATGTAGTTAGTTTATTATATTAAGATATTTCATTTATGATGGTTTAATAGAACCGAAAACGTTCTGGCTTTTTTCAGACGTTTCATTGCAAGCTACTTTAAACTTATTTAATTAACATATTTAATTCAAAATATTTTCCAAGAATCCCTATATACAAAAAAAGAATACACGGAAGCAGCAATACAATTAAATGGCTAACAAACAATTTCAGATATTCCGATAATTAGCAAAGCAAGCAACATACACATATATGTGCACATTATTAAGTGGAGAGGAGGCCATTTGAAATTGAAATTAAGAATGCTACAGAGTAGCCTTGATGAGGCAACACTAAAAAGGCTGGAACCATCAATATGTGGACTTCGGAAAAAAAAATCTTAATAATTTTATGGATGGCAAAAATATAAAACATAAAACTACTCCAAAAACTAGAGAAAAAAATAATGTACACAGTAAACGTGGAAAATCTGAATATGTGGGTCGCCTTATGAGAAATGAAGCTAAATATAAACTAATAAAATGCATTAGGGAGGAAAGTGGACTATTCAGAGCAGTAACAACATTAAATTATCATTGCCAGCATTCGATAATGGACAGGCACTAGAAGAAGAAGATTTAAAACATATAAATTTGGACAGCAAAAAAATTGAACCAGATAATGTTGAGTCAACAGCTGTAAACAGTAGACAAGAATGTTGAAACTACTTTTAAGTTGATAAGCATCTGAGACAGGATAATGTCTTTCTTTAAAATTTGTCTAAACTCAGTTCTGCCAAGTTGGTACAAAAAATGAAGTAGAATGTGATTAAAATTTAATAATACAAATAATAGCAGAAGTATATTCAAATTATTTTATTTGCAGAGGATCAGATTGATCTTTCTGAATATGTTGATGATAATATTTGGTAAGAAAATTTGTGGAAAAAGTAAACTACTTAAGATCAATATCGAGAAAAAGTATAGACAGTTGACAGAAAATATTTAAACACTGACGTAAACCTGCCACATTGAAAACAACTCGAGCAGTTATAACCCCCTCTGTGGCTCAGTGTAAGAGCGCCTGCCTTTAAACTAAAGGTCGTGAGTTCGAATCCCACCTGGTTGGAAATTTCGTTATTATAAAAAATTAATAAATGAAAATAATTTCTATCCTTGTGTGATCGGTAACACACCGGAGGGACCGCAGACGTTCGGATACAATTAGCGTCTCTTAGCAAGACAATGACGTCGACTTTGCTAAGTATCAAGACAATTACTCTACACACACACACACACACACTACACCTCAAATTGTAAGATTGGGCGAATGGATTTAGTGTCCGCAGTCATTTAAACACAAACAAACAACAACAACAACTCGAGCAGCAAGGACTAAGGTTTTAAGATGGCATCGAAGAATTCATACTGTTTACGCAAAATCACACGATAATTTAGAGTATATAGAGTAAGAAAAACATTAGGTAATGTTCGAAAGAAAAAGGTATATCACAAGTACTTGCAAAATAAGACAGAGGCAAGCAAAGAACAGGGAGGTTCCGAACAAAGCAAAAATGATTTAAAGGCAGAAAAATCGGCAATAACGGACATCATAGTTTCTTGGACACAAATTTTGTAATGAATAAAAGAACTTAAAAAATGATAAAATAAACGGATGGTACTAATAAAAAGTTTTCTCAAAGTATTTTAAAATTATTAGAAAAAGAGCATATCTAATACATTTGATTAGAGTGATCCAAAGCGCGGGCAGCAGTTCAAACACTACGATTAAAATGTATAACGAAACAAAACCGATAAAGATAAACCAATGATACATTTTTCAATAATTTTGTTTGCTAAAAATGTTGCAAAACTTTGAATTTTCTAATAAAAGACTGATTAATTTCAGCCTTTAATGTTGTTAATCTTTCATCTATGGTAACGCGCCTAGCGCGTTTATATAAATATTGTCATATGTCCAGCAACGCTTAGAGCGGTCTTATACTTTATTTGTATTCATTTGCAAGACTTAGAGGCATAGACAAATAATATAACTTAGAGGTATAATACCGGCGTGTCAGAAAACAAACAAAAATAAACTGGCACATCGAATAACATACAATTTATAGCCTAGGTAAACTTGGATTTGAAGTGGATTTTTTTATTTGTTAAAAAAAAGGAATAGTATGGACACGATACGTATCTAGATTTATTATGGTTCTAAGTAACTGGAAAAAAGGAGTTTGAAGTTATTTCATTTAAACTCTTAATGGTTATTACATAGAAAGCTATACAAACGGATC